CACACATCACCATGGCAACATCACTCTCTCTACCTGCCCAGCTACCTTCCCCAAGAACTCCACACGCATCACCATGGCAACATCACTCTCTCTACCTACCCAGCTACCTTCCCCAAGAACTCCACACGCATCACCATGGCAACATCACTCTCTCTACCTGCCCAGCTACCTTCCCCAAGAACTCCACACGCATCACCATGGCAACATCACTCTCTCTACCTGCCCAGCTACCTTCCCCAAGAACTCCACACGCATCACCATGGCAACATCACTCTCTCTACCTACCCAGCTACCTTCCCCAAGAACTCCACACGCATCACCATGGCAACATCACTCTCTCTTCCTGCCCAGCTACCTTCCCCAAGAAACTCCACACGCATCACCATGGCAACATCACTCTCTCTACCTACCCAGCTACCTTCCCCAAGAACTCCACACGCATCACCATGGCAACATCACTCTCTACCTACCCAGCTACCTTCCCCAAGAACTCCACACGCATCACCATGGCAACATCACTCTCTCTACCTACCCAGCTACCTTCCCCAAGAACTCCACACGCATCACCATGGCAACATCACTCTCTCTACCTACCCAGCTACCTTCCCCAAGAACTCCACACGCATCACCATGGCAACATCACTCTCTCTACCTGCCCAGCTACCTTCCCCAAGAACTCCACACGCATCACCATGGCAACATCACTCTCTCTACCTACCCAGCTACCTTCCCCAAGAACTCCACACGCATCACCATGGCAACATCACTCTCTCTGCATACCCCGGAGGAATAGTCATTCTGTCATTTTAATAATACTACGATCAAACTAGCACAGCAATCTGGGTTTAAATAAACTGGATGTTTGATATCAGTGCGATAACACCGCCGGGTGCCCTCTGTTTAAACGCGTTGTTTCTTGCTGTCTAAGGAAATTCTTTGACGAAAATATGGAACCGCTTTGGTTTGTGACCATCAACCTAGAGACACGTAATCTACGGTGGCTAGCCTACAGCAGCCTCTACAGGCTGCCATGTCTTCAACCACCCACACCAGTCACCCAGGACCTATCCATCACCGTGTGACATTAACATAGACATCTATTGTGTTGTGGTGGTAAGAGAATGCTAGTGGAAGTGATAACGGTTGTATTGGCAGGTTGAAGATCTATAACGTGCAGGTCATTCAGAATTCATCTGCCATTGCTACTACGCCATCATCATCTGGAAACGAAATAAAAAAAACCGGTTGAATTCAGTGGTTGTCTTTACCTTCTGCGGTGTCCTCGGATTGAGTGTCCTCGGATCTCCAGTGACGGCAAGATCATACAAAGATCTGCCTGTCACAATGGGTGTCGGCTATGTTGAAATCTGATGCTGTTGAACACCTTTTTGTATTGACACAGTGAAAGCTTAAACCAGGTGTATAGGGGAGGAGTGCTTAGTATGAATATAGGGAGTGGCCTCTTGGAAAGGTATCATTTAAATCAGACAGCTCCACATGGTTTTGTATTTCCATGCAGTTACCCAACTGCAAAACACAAGCAAAGAAATATGTGATTTTCGAATAAACTTTAATCATTCTTTATCGTAAAGTAAATAACTCTTTGTTGATTCAGAAAAATAAAAATGTTAGCTGTTTCCATGACAATAAGGCATGTCATGTGCAGAGAGTCAAAAGATAATAATTTGTTCCGCGTCAAAACGATTTATATTTGCTGGGCAAGGGCGTTTTGTGCAAAGCTGAGCTGATGATTACCCAGATGTCTTCTCACTGTGGAAAGACTGAGGGTGTCTCCCAAATTGCGCTTTATAGGCCCTGGTCAAAAGTAGAGCATTATATAGGGAAAAGGGTGCCATTTGGGACAGAACTCTAGGCAACTTCAGACAACGTTAAAGTAGGAATTAAAATACTTTAAACAAATATATAAATAAGAACACTTGTGAACTAAGGGCTCTATTCAGTCTATCGCTGAAGCGTTACAGATTGCGCGATAGAAATGCAGAAGGTAATTTCTGATTGGTCCGACGTATGCAGCGTTTACCGTGAAATGCAGTCTCCGCTAAAGCAGGAACATTGCCTTTAAATTTAAATCGCTCTGTAAAGACGAACTTCAGATTGAATAGAGACGGCCCTTAGTGGTGGTGTACCTTTGGCTGACGATCTCCATACTCAAGTGTTACTATGGCCTTTATCTCTAGTAGTACTGAGTCCCATATGGCACCCTGTTCCCTGTATAGTGCACTACTTTAGACCAGAGAATGGCACCCTATTCCCTATATAGTGCACTACTTTAGACCAGAGAATGGCACCCTATTCCCTATATAGTGCACTACTTTAGACCAGAGAATGGCACCCTATTCCCTATATAGTGCACTACTTTAGACCAGAGAATGGCACCCTATTCCCTATATAGTGCACTACTTTAGACCAGAGAATGGCACCCTATTCCCTATATAGTGCACTACTTTAGACCAGAGAATGGCACCCTATTCCCTATATAGTGCACTACTTTAGACCAGAGAATGGCACCCTATTCCCTATATAGTGCACTACTTTAGACCAGAGAATGGCACCCTATTCCCTATATAGTGCACTACTTTAGACCAGAGAATGGCACCCTATTCCCTATATAGTGCACTACTTTAGACCAGAGAATGGTACCCTGTTCCCTATATAGTGCACTACTTTAGACCAGAGAATGGCACCCTGTTCCCTATATAGTGCACTACTTTTGACCAGGTCCTTCCCATAGGTCTCTGGTCTAAAGTAGTGCACTATATAGGGAATAGGGTGCCATTCTCTGGTCCAAAGTAGTGCACTATATAGGGAATAGGGTGCCATTCTCTGGTCTAAAGTAGTGCACTATGTAGGGAATAGGGTGCCATTCTCTGGTCTAAAGTAGTGCACTATATAGGGAATAGGGTGCCATTCTCTGGTCTAAAGTAGTGCACTATATAGGGAATAGGGTGCCATTCTCTGGTCTAAAGTAGTGCACTATATAGGGAATAGGGTGCCATTCTCCGGTCTAAAGTAGTGCACTATGTAGGCAATAGGGTGCCTTGTACCTGTAGCACTATCAGGAGACATACAGTTGAAGTCGAAAGTTTACACACACTCAGGTTGGAGTCATTAAAACTTGTTTTTCAACCACTCCACAAATGTCTTGTTAACAAACTATAGTTTTGGCAAGTCGGTTAGGACATCTACTTTGTGCATGACACAAGTACATTTTCCAACAATTGTTTACAGACAGATTATTTCACTTATAATTCACTGTATCACAATTCCAGTGGGTCAGAGGTTTACATACACTAAGTTGACTGTGCCTTTAAACAGCTTGGTAAATTCCAGAAAATTATGTCATGGCTTTAGAAGTTCTGATAGGCTAATTGACATCATTTGAGTCAATTGGAGGTGTACCTGTGGATGTATTTCAAGGCCTACCTTCAAACTCAGTGCCTCTTTGTTTGACATCATGGGAAAATCAAAAGAAATCAGCCAAGACCTCAGAAAAAAAATTGTACACCTCCACAAGTCTGGTTCATCCTTGGGAGCAATTTCCAAATGCCTGAAGGTACCACGTTCATCTGTACAAACAATAGTACGCAAGTATAAACACCATGGGACCACGCAGCCGGAAGGAGACGCGTTCTGTCTCCTAGAGATGAACGTACTCTGGTGCGAAAAGTGCAAATCGATCCCAGAACAACAGCAAAGGACCTTGTGAGTGGCGCAGTGGTCTAAGGCACTGCATCGCAGTGCTAACTGTGCCACTAGAGATCCTGGTGCAAATCCAGGCTCTGTCGCAGCCGGCCGTGACCGGGAGACTCATGGGCGGCGAACAATTGGTCCAGCGTTGTCCAGGGTAGGGGAGGGAATGGCCAGCAGGGATGTAGCTCAGTTGATAGAGCATGGCGTTTGCAACGCCAGGGTTGTGGGTTTGATTCCCACGGGGGGCCAGTATAAAAAAAAAAATGTATTCACTAACTGTAAGTCGCTCTGGATAAGAGCGTCTGCTAAATGACTAAAATGTAAAAATGTGAAGATGCTGGAGGAAACAGGTACAAAAGTATCTATATCCACAGTAAAACGAGTCCTATATCGACATAACCTGAAGGGCTGCTCAGCAAGGAAGAAGCCACTGCTCCATAAAAAAGCCAGACTACGGTTTGCAACTGCACATGGGGACAAAGATCGTACTTTTTGGAGAAATGTCCTCTGGTCTGATGAAACAAAAATAGAACTGTTTGGCCATAATGACCATCATTATGTTTGGAGGAAAAAGGGGAACGCTTGCAAGCCAAAGAACACCATCCCAACCGTGAAGCACGGGGGTGGCAGCATCATGCTGTGGGGGTGCTTTGCTGCAGGAGGGACTGGTGCATTTCACAAAATAGATGGCATCATGAGGAACTGAAATTATGTGGATATATTGAAACAACATCTCAAGACATCAGTCAGGAAGTTAAAGCTTGGTCGCAAATGGGTCTTCCAAATGGACAATGACACTAAGCATACTTCCAAAGTTGTGGCAAAATGGCTTAAGGACAACAAAGTCAAGGTATTGGAGTGGCCATAATAATAATAATAACAATAATATGCCATTTAGCAGACGCTTTTATCCAAAGCTACTTACAGTCATGTGTGCATACATTTTAACGTATGGGTGGTCCCGGGGATCGAACCCACATCACAAAGCCCTGACCTCAATCCTATAGAAAATGTGTGGACAGATCTGAAAAAAAAAAAGCGTGTGCGAGCAAGGAGGCCTGCAAACCTGACTCTGTTACACCAGCGCTGTCAGGAGGAATGGGCCAAAATTCACCCAACTTGTGGAAGGCTACCCGAAACGTTTGACCCAAGTTAAACAATTTAAAGGCAATGCTACCAAATACTAATTGAGTGTATGTAAACTTCTGACCCACTGGGAATGTGATGAAAGAAATAAAAGCTTAAATAAATCATTCTCTCTACTATTATTCTGACATTCCACATTCTTAAAATAAAGTGGTGATCCTAACTGACCTAAGACAGGGATTTTTTTACTAGGATTTAAATGTCAGGAATTGTGAAAAACTGAGTTTAAATGAATTTGGCTAAGGTGTATGTAAACTTTCGACTTCAACTGTATGTAGTACAGGCTTGTGGATTTGATTGAATAAAACGGACTCCCGAGTGGCGCAGTGGTCTAAGGCCACTGTGCCACTAGAGATCCTGGTTCGAATCCAGGCTCTGTCGTAGCCGGCCGCGACCTGGAGACCCATGGGGCGGCGCACAAGTCGTCCAGGGTAGGGGAGGGAATGGCCGGCAGGGATGTAGCTCAGTTGGTAGAGCATGGCGTTTGCAACGCCAAGGTTGTGGGTTCGATTCCCACAGGGGAAAAAAAAAAAAAAATAATAATAATAATGTATGCACTCACTAACTGTAAGTCGCTCTGGATAAGAGCGTCTGCTAAATGACTAAAATGTAAAGTCTTATTAAAAATACACCATTCATACAACAAGCCATTTTGATGAATCAGTTGAACTCAAACCAAGGTTGAATATTTGGTTGTAAAGTGACGATGTTAATAATGCCGAAACAGTATTAATAAACAACATTGTTTAAAAGCAACTTAAAGACACATTCAAAACATAAATAAATGGCAAGTAACAGTCAGAAACCCCATAAATATTGTCTTTGAATGGCATGGGAATGGTGTCTAGTGTAAGTAACTGTAAGGAATGGACATATTGTACTCTCTTGGGTTTCGTCACAAGTGGAACCATAATTCCCTGGTCAAAAGTAACGCACTATGCAGAGAATAAGTTGCAATTTTGGATACTAGAACTTGGAAGCAGCTAATTTAATTGAACATCAGTTCCAGTAGGATGAATGTTTTCGCCTCCTAAACAGCTTCATTCGTTTACAAAGTGCTTTTCAAATTTGATAGTTGGTCTAATATATAAATGGTATTTTAAATATGCTGCATCCCTTTTTTTTTCTGAATCACTACTCTACCTAAGCCTACCTATTCACAAAATAATTAGCAGTTTAATTGAAAACATTTATTTATGCTGATCAAAAAGCTAAAATAACACATTGATTGATTGAGCGATAGATGACGTCAAAAGATACATTCTGGAAATTTCATCTATCTGCCATTCCATTAGGAAATAAGACAATTCAGTGATTGCTTGACTTAAAAAGGGTATGTTAATGAAGAAAAAAATACTAGAGGAAAAAAAAAAACGTAAAATAGAACACAAGCTTCAAACACCTTAGAAAGTCCTAATATTTGTCCACTAGGTTTTGTTTCTCAACTGCAGTGACCTTTTTTAACCTCTAGATGGGGGTCTACTACAAGCACAGCCTTTTGTATTGTATTTACAAAATCCAGCCGCAGTACACCCATTCGTCCTGAGGAGCACTGTTTGCAGTTTGCTAAAGCAGACTAAGCTCTATTCAATCCGCATCGCCTGAAGTTCAGCTTTGCAGCGTAATTGAAATTTAAAGGCAATGTTCATATTTAGCGGAGACTGAATTCACGGTAAACGTGCACATGTCTACTCAATCAGAAATTACCTTTAAATTTATTTAGCAGAATCTGTAATGCTTCAGTTTTACAGATTGAATAGAGCCCTAAAGCTCTATGGTTGAAAAAAATACTCCAAAATAAAGCTTTAATATCAAAGAAATGGGGACCAACGCCATTGTTTGCATAAATATGAAGGCCATTTTAGGCTAAGGCTTTCGGAGAAGACTTCACATATTTTAACTCAGTTGACTTCTTAAGTCAGTACTGTTTTGATGATCTCTCGCTCTCTCTCTCTCTCTCTCTCTCTCTCTCTCTCTCTCTCTCTCTCTCTCTCTCTCTCTCTCTCTCTCTCTCTGTGTCTCTGTGTCTCTGTGTCTCTCTGTCTTTATCTCTCAAGTTCTTGCAGTTCTTGCTTTGTTCCTCCATCTTAATCCCAATCCACAAAAGTTCAGTCCACACTAAGCAGTCTTTCTCCGTTTGGCTTCGTCTCCATTTTACCTGGAAAACAGTAGGAAGCAGTTACACTGAGAAGGCAGGAATAGAGGGCCTTCTGGGAAGGCTGTGAGCAATGTACAGTATGATAAACAAGGAGCATTCTGTGGGCTAATTGGATTGGTTACTTTATCGTGGGTGTAACTACATTAGCGTTGGTTGACCCATGTGTTAGTAGTGAATATTACTGGAAACAGAATTAGACAAAGGTTCTATTGAGGGTGGAATGTAATTTTCTTTCATTAGCTAGGTGAGCACAAGCTGCAGAAAATGGGGGGAGGGCATTTCTGCTGCTGTTGTGCAGTTGTAGGGTAAAATCTGTGTGGGTGTCAATGCTACTTTGCTAAGCATGCTTCATCATCATGGTAATGCTAGCATCTGCATTCTGCCATGTCATGATGGGACAAGACATGATTGTGGTCGATGTTGTCCACGGAATCAAGCGCATTGTGCTAGTCTGTAAAGAACTGATTCTTCAGTGAAATAATTCAGTGAAACATCAAATCCACGCCAGATCAATTACATGCACTGTCAACATAAAACAAATAAACGACTGATATTGACTTAAAATGTGCACATTTGTAAGTACATGTAATAATATGTAGCAACGGTCCTATTCTAAGTGTTGTGTTGGTGTTCTTACTTGTTGTATTATGGTCCTCTGTCAGTGCTCTCTGGCCCGCATCTTGCGCTCTCTCTGTCTCCTCGTTAGCTTCTGTTCCCCTTGGAGATGGAGTGCTCCTCTCACTCTGAGAACCCCTCATCACTATAGAAAAACCAGTCTTCCCCAAGGTGGTAGCGTGAGCTGGTTTCTTAGCCACGGGTGGTGGAACTCTCCTCGGAATCCCAGTTCTTCCAGCGTTGCCGTTAGCGACTGTGGAAGCCTCCGATTGGTCGGAAACCTTCATGAGTACGGAGGCTAGGCTCTGCTGAAGGCTCGCCTGCATCTCGGGGGAGGAAGAAGCGACAGGCGTTTCTATAACGACCTTCTTTGAGCTCCTGGAGAAGATGAAGCTAGCGGTGGAGGCGGGGGACTTTAGCATGTCGCCCCCTTCTGGTGACATTAGGGATAACATCCCAGATTCACCACCACTGCTACTGGGGAATGAGGTGGAGGATGGCATTCTAAAGCGCGTTAGAAGACCATCTCTGGAAGACATGGCCGCTGTCTTCATGCGGATAGCTTCCTGCAAGCGCATCGAGGGGGCAATGATCGACGGTGGTGATGACTTCAATGACAGAGGTGTGGATTTTATAGACTGGGATTTCCGGACTGGTTTTTGGGGTGTGGTGTTCTGGGATCCTGGGGTTTGGGTTGGGATTGGACTCTGGTCGTGAGCAGGTGGATTCCCATTGTTGGAATTATTGTCGTTGTCGGAAGGCGTTTTCACCTGGTCTTCACTGACGTTGACCGATCTGAGACGTACCATCTGAAGCAGAGACGGGGTGACCAGTGGAATGTTGGCGTCTTCTTTGGGAATGGGCCTAGACAGAAGCTCTTTGCTCCTGGTCTCTCTGTTGGCCAAGCTGAGCTGTCTCCTGACGGTCACAGGGGGTTGGTTCTCAATCGTGGGGTGGAGAGGGGGTGGGAGTGGGAACATCCTCACAGGAGGCTCAGAGGGCATCTGATCTTCAAATTGTACAGGGGAAGGGAGGTGGACACTGATAAGGGGTACAGGGGGGATACTTGAGGGGGGCACCAAGGCTATTTTCATTGGTGATGGGGGAAGAGCCTCCTGGGGTTGGGAAGGGACATCCTCTGGTAGAGCCAGGACTTCCTGTGACTGATGAGAAGTTTCTGTTGGTTGAGGTGTGGCTTCTTGCATTGTGATTGGCTGCTGGGCAGATTGCTTGACCTCTGCCCCAATCTTATTGGGCTGAACTGGAGAAACGATAGTTGACTCATCTGCGGGAATTGCTTGGAGCTCAGCTGATTCAGATACCTCAGAGCTGGTTTCATCAGCATTGGAGTCCAGAATCACCTTTTCAGGTCTATCCTCCTTCATCTCCATTTGAGCCGGAATGAGTAACAGATCTACAGTTGCCCCAGCCACAGTTGCTCCATTCACAGTTTCCTTAACCTCCTCCACATCCAGAGCCACAATGGACGCCTCCTGGACATCAGCGACTGTGTTACAGCTCTCCACCACATCTGGCAAGCTCTCCATCACGAAGGGAGGAGGTGGAGGTGGAAAGTCCATCTCATCTGACTCATCAAAGACTGAATCTGCTGGTTCCTCTGGTGGAGGTGGAGGGGGCCAGCAGGACTCTACTATGGGAATCTCTTCCTCACCCTCCTCCTCTACCTCAGGTGGGGGAGTGGACACTAAGGATGGAGGTGTCTTAGAAGGGGGTGGAGGAGGGTGGTGGGCAGGGGGAGGGGAGGCTGGAGGAGAGACCCTGTCCACTTTGGTAGGCTCCATGGCAAGGGTCTGTGTAGATGCCTCTGGTTTGGTGGGACTTTCCTCTGTAGTGTTTTCAGTAGCACTCTGACCTTCAACCTTAGCTACTACCTCAACTTCCTTAGCAGCTATCTCAACTTTCTTAGCTACTACCTCAACCTCAACATCCTTAGCTACCACCTCTACCTCCGCCTGTAGGGAACACTTCTCACTCTCGCTGGGTGATTCTACCTTCTCCTCTACTGTGACCTCATCAAATGGCGACTTTTGTTGGATGTTTGCTGTTACTTGAACTTTAGGATCTTTTCTAGGAGGAATTTTCTCCATGACAGGAGGGGGTTCCTTCTTTGGAATGGTCGCTAAACTAACTTGTGTCTCTAGCCTCTCTTTTTGATCCTTGACCTGTGCAACACTACTACTACTCTGGTTCTGGTTCTGCTCCTGGTCCTGGTTCTGGACCTCTACACATGCTTCTACCCTCTCTGCGATCATCGCCGGACTTCCTTGTTCTTTCGTTTGACTTTCTGTGCTCTCGAATCCCTGACTAACACACTCGGATACCTCAGGCACCTGCTCTAGCATAGGCTCAGTTTCTTCTTGCGAAGCAATGTATTTGCTTTCTGATTTTATCAAAGTGACTTCCTCTACGGTAGCCTTCTTTTCATTCGAGCATTGAGACGCCTTGCTAGCTTCAGTTTGAGGATCCTGCTTTTGCTCAATGATGGCAGCTTCGTCTTTCAATTCCTGTTGCTTCTGGAGCTGTGCTAGCTTGTTGACATTGGGGCAAGGCCCGCACAGCAGTAAGAAGGTGTGTCTGTTGTGGGCCCAGGTCTCCGGGGGTGGCGGGGAAGGGGCTTTGATGTTGGGGGGTGGCGGAATGTTAAGCAACTCTCTGATCGCCATGGATGCAGAGGAACGGGTCAGGGTTACCGGGGTCGCCGTTGCTGGCTTTTCTGTTGTCATTACAGCTGGGGGTGGGGAGGCCTGCTGGGGCGGGCTAGGGCTGTTTTTCGAAGCCTCTTGATTGACGTGTTCTGAGGTGGCTGAAGACAGGGAGGTGAGGGAAGAGGAGACAGAGGCTGCCGTGGAGGAAGCTCTTGAACCAGATCGTTCCGGTTTGACCGGCATCATCTTCTGTTTACCTGGGGAGGCGGAAGGGCAGATCCCCTTGGGGGAGAGCGTCGGAGTACCACTCTGGGTTGAGTACCCACTGGAGGGGGACATGGTCCTTTCAAATGTACCTCCCTCTGAGGGAGCCTTCTGTGGGGAAGAGCTGCTGGACCCTGGCCTTTCTGGTTTTCCACTACCTCCAGGGGAGGCCTGTGTGGGTCTCAGGGGGCTAGAGGCTGTGGAAGACCTTGTATCATCTAAAGAGCTAAACCCAGATGAGTTGGATACAGGGACAGAGCTCTTTGTGATTTCTTTGTAGAGCTCTTTAGAGATCTCGATCGTAACCAAGCTTGTGTCCTCAACAGCCTCCACCTCCCCACCCACAGAGTCACGGAGGTCTTTAATCTCCACCAGTTCCCTGGGTCGCCTCTTCATCATCTTCTCATGGTGCAGTGAGTTGGTTCTCCTGGGGGGAGCCGGGGGCAGCTTGGTCTTCATGACCGACAGACAGCGAGAGAATCTGTGAGAGTCTCCTCCAACATCGCTCATCTCCCCAGCACTGATAGACCCAGATAGACCCGACTCAGATCCCCCCTGAGCAGTCACAGTACTAGTACCCCTACTGGTGCTGCTGACCCAGCTAGCCGAGCTTTGTAGGCTCACCAGGTCCTGGTCCCCAGCACCAGGCTGCTGCAGCTCTCTCTCCTGCCCAGCGTGGCTCACTGTCTGTGGGTTAGCAGGTCTGAAGCTCCCCTTCGTGAAGGAGATGGCGGAGGAGTTGGACTTGATCGTCTCGGAAGACTGCGAGTGGCTCCAGCCGGATCCCGAAGTCACTGAGTGTGTGGTCGCCGTAGAACCATCGTCCCGGGAACTACTGTCACCATGGGAAAGGGCGTCGCCGCCGTCATAGCAACCATCGCCGCCCGACCTCCTCGACGACGCTGGGCTGGCTGACGACACTGACGCAAGGCTGCTCTTGCTGACGGTACGGACCGTTCCTTTACCGTTGTTTCCATGGGTATGGCTGGTGCTGCGGTCGATCTGTATGACGTCGACGGAGGCCGGCAGATAGGCGTTGGGGATGATCTTAGACAGGTAGGTCGCCTGGGGAGAGATGGACATCACCGGACCCTGGGAGGAGACAAACACAAGGATCAACATTAGGAGTCATACTATGTAGAGAAATGTGGAGCTGTCATACTATGTAGCTATCAGTATTTGGATCTTAGTCCAGTGGTTCAGATAACAAGCATGGTTTAACATCAGTGTCAGATGATCATGTGATGTGACAGCAACATCCCAGGGAAGGGTAAACATGCCATTTAGCAGACGCTTTTATCCAAAGCCACTTACAGTAGTGTGGGCATACATTTTCGCATAGATGACCCCAGCAGGAAGAAACATGGTGACAAACACCGTTCTGAACTGGACTCACCTGTGGCTCCTGGAGGAAGCTGGGGAATCCAACCGAGCAGGAGGAGGTCATGCCCGGCACGGCCAGAGATTTGGGCCTCTGGGTGGGGGAGAGACGAGAGTTCAGTCCCCTGTGGTGGCTGAAGCCCTGGTCGTCCCTGTACACAGACTTGAGGTGGTGTGTCAACAGCCGCTCCTCTCTGGATGCCTATTTAGATTAGTTCAGTTGTAATTATAGTAATTATAGTGGTTTCTTGCTGACATAAACAAGAACTACCTCGTTTTAAAGAATCCTTCTTAGAAACAAACAGAAGTCGTGAGATACTTACAACGTAACTACAATTTTGTCATGCAAGTAGCACTCTGTAAGTAAAAGCATGACACTATAACAAAAAGCACAAAATAAATGTACTTGTTCAGGTTGGGGTTGTAAAGCTAAAACAAGCGCGTATGAAAGCCTCACCGCCAGTTCTGAGATGTGTACCCTAGCTCCATCGTGGTTGGCTAGAGGGGTCTCTCCATCGATGGTGGGGATGGCGACCACACCTGGTTGGCCGTCACTACCCTGTCCTCCAGAGCCGTTAGAGAGCTGGGAAGGAACTTGGTACGCAGACCCACTGTGCAGGGCTAGAAGGGGAACGGAGGCGGAAAACATCTTATCACCACTACTATCACCTCATTTGAATTTGACAAAAGAAAGTACCGTTGATTTGACTTCTTAAATGACAACGTGGCTAAGGGTATTCATTCAGCATAGCTCCCACTTTACTTAGTGAACCACTAAAACCCACAAAACCCTGGACCTTTGTTGGTCGCGGTGACTTCGTAAAGTGAAGCTCAGTGCAAAGCTAGCTGCCATCCGTGACTACATACGTACCCAGCTCTCTCTGGACCTGCTGGGGTATGCCCATGACTGTAGTCCTCCTGGTCCTGTTCTTCCCTTTCTCTAGTCTCTTCACTGGGTTCAGAGGCTTGAACGTGGAGCCTGGGAGGAGAGGTTTAGAGGAGGGAGAAGGATGAGACAAAGGGATGCATGAGTAAAGATGTGTTGCACTTTTAAAGTTCGATTTGATTTGAAGGGATGCAAGGAAAGAGGAAGGGAATATGAAAGGAGAGATGACGAGGGAGGAGAGTTAGCGTCTGTCATTATATATAGTATTGAGAATGACAAATGATTTGGATGACGGTAATTGGCCAACCAAATGACTACGGCCTCCGTAATAACCGTTCAAATAGCAAAAAAAACAACTGAAAGAAGACCCATTTTTTCCGCTCCTCCGCTCCTGACCCTGTGCTGCCTCTCCTCCGCTCCTGACCCTGTGCTGCCGCTCCTGACCCTGTGCTGCCTCTCCTCCCCTCCTGACCCTGTGCTGCCGCTCCTGACCCTGTGCTGCTGCTCCTCCGCTCCTGACCCTGTGCTGCCGCTCCTCCGCTCCTGACCCTGTGCTGCCTCTCCTCCGCTCCTGACCCTGTGCTGCTGCTCCTCCCCTCCTGACCCTGTGCTGCCGCTCCTGACCCTGTGCTGCCGCTCCTCCGCTCCTGACCCTGTGCTGCCGCTCCTCCGCTCCTGACCCTGTGCTGCCTCTCCTCCGCTCCTGACCCTGTGCTGCTGCTCCTCCGCTCCTGACCCTGTGCTGCCGCTCCTCCGCTCCTGACCCTGTGCTGCCGCTCCTGACCCTGTGCTGCCGCTCCTCCGCTCCTGACCCTGTGCTGCCTCTCCTCCGCTCCTGACCCTGTGCTGCCGCTCCTGACCCTGTGCTGCCTCTCCTCCGCTCCTGACCCTGTGCTGCCTCTCCTCCGCTCCTGACCCTGTGCTGCCGCTCCTCCGCTCCTGACCCTGTGCTGCCGCTCCTCCGATCCTGACCCTGTGCTGCCTCTCCTCCGCTCCTGACCCTGTGCTGCCTCTCCTCCGCTCCTGACCCTGTGCTGCCTCTCCTCTGCTCCTGACCCTGTGCTGCCTCTCCTCCGCTCCTGACCCTGTGCTGCCGCTCCTGACCCTGTGCTGCCGCTCCTCCGCTCCTGACCCTGTGCTGCCGCTCCTCCGCTCCTGACCCTGTGCTGCCGCTCCTCCGCTCCTGACCCTGTGCTGCCGCTCCTGACCCTGTGCTGCCGCTCCTCCGCTCCTGACCCTGTGCTGCCGCTCCTCCGCTCCTGACCCTGTGCTGCCGCTCCTCCGCTCCTGACCCTGTGCTGCCGCTCCTCCGCTCCTGACCCTGTGCTGCCTCTCCTCCGCTCCTGACCCTGTGCTGCCGCTCCTGACCCTGTGCTGCCGCTCCTCCGCTCCTGACCCTGTGTTGCCGCTCCTCCGCTCCTGACCCTGTGCTGCCGCTCCTCCGCTCCTGACCCTGTGCTGCCGCTCCTCCGCTCCTGACCCTGTGCTGCCGCTCCTCCGCTCCTGACCCTGTGCTGCCGCTCTCCGCTCCTGACCCTGTGCTGCCGCTCCTCCGCTCCTGACCCTGTGCTGCCGCTCCTGACCCTGTGCTGCCGCTCCTCCGCTCCTGACCCTGTGCTGCCGCTCCTCCGCTCCTGACCCTGTGCTGCCTCTCCTCCGCTCCTGACCCTGTGCTGCCGCTCCTCCGCTCCTGACCCTGTGCTGCCGCTCCTCCGCTCCTGACCCTGTGCTGCCGCTCCTCCGCTCCTGACCCTGTGCTGCCGCTCCTCCCCTCCTGACCCTGTGCTGCCGCTCCTCCGCTCCTGACCCTGTGCTGCCTCTCCTCCGCTCCTGACCCTGTGCTGCCGCTCCTCCCCTCCTGACCCTGTACTGCCGCTCCTCCCCTCCTGACCCTGTACTGCCGCTCCTCCGCTCCTGACCCTGTGCTGCCGCTCCTGACCCTGTGCTGCCACTCCTCCGCTCCTGACCCTGTGCTGCCGCTCCTCCCCTCCTGACCCTGTACTGCCGCTCCTCCGCTCCTGACCCTGTACTGCCGCTCCTCCGCTCCTGACCCTGTACTGCCGCTCCTCCGCTCCTGACCCTGTACTGCCGCTCCTGACCCTGTGCTGCCGCTCCTCCGCTCCTGACCCTGTGCAGCCGCTCCTCCGCTCCTGACCCTGTGCTGCCGCTCCTCCGCTCCTGACCCTGTACTGCCGCTCCTCCGCTCCTGACCCTGTGCTGCCGCTCCTCCGCTCCTGACCCTGTGCTGCCGCTCCTCCGCTCCTGACCCTGTGCTGCCGCTCCTCCGCTCCTGACCCTTTGCTGCCGCTCCTCCGCTCCTGACCCTGTGCTGCCGCTCCTCCGCTCCTGACCCTGTACTGCCGCTCCTCCGCTCCTGACCCTGTGCTGCCGCTCCTCCGCTCCTGACCCTGTGTTGCCGCTCCTCCGCTCCTGACCCTGTGCTGCCGCTCCTCCGCTCCTGACCCTGTGCTGCCGCTCCTCCGCTCCTGACCCTGTGCTGCCGCTCCTCCGCTCCTGACCCTGTGCTGCCGCTCCTCCGCTCCTGACCCTGTACTGCCGCTCCTCCGCTCCTGACCCTGTGCTGCCGCTCCTCCGCTCCTGACCCTGTTTATGCTGCTGCTGCACCTTGCTTGCACCTTGAACTGTGTGTTCGTTTGCTACAACACCCTGCTTGTTTCAGCAAGGAGCAACAAAGTTTCATCACGTTATTAAGAGTCAATGTTACCACAGAAACGGACTCAACCACACAAATGCCTGACCGTCCCGCCTTCAGTCAGCTGTAATTTTTTTAATTAATTTTTTATTTTAAAAATACGGTTATTTTATTTTCATGACTGGGTACTCAGAGGGTCTGGTTGTAAATTGCAATGAGGTTCAATGAGAGAGATTCAGTGAATATTATGGCATGCTTTGCCCCCCAGCTGGGCCACACCAGGCAGCAGCAGAGCACTATTTGGATGGTAGAGACATTCCAAGTCAGTAACAAACTACAGCTGTGTGTGTGTGTGTTTTGCCTCTTCTTTGTGTGTAACAAGATCCTCTGGTTTTGATTACACGTCTAAACATAATCTAACCACAGTAGAGACAGTAGAGACCCAGTAGAGACAGAAGAGACCCAGTAGAGACAGAAGAGACCCAGTAGAGACCCAGTAGAGACCCAGTAGAGACAGAAGAGACCCAGAAGAGACAGAAGATACCCAGTAGAGACAGAAGAGACCCAGTACAGACCCAGTAGAGACCCAGTAGAGACAGAAGAGACCCAGTAGAGACAGAAGAGACCCAGTAGAGACCCAGTAGAGACCCAGTAGAGACATAAGAGACCCAGTAGAGACAGAATAGACCCATTAGAGACCCGTAGAGACCACAGGAAAGAAGAGACCCAGAGTAGAGGACAGTAAGAGACCCAGTAAGAGACCAGAAGAAACAGACCAGTTAGAGACCGAGAGAGCAGGATAGAGACCCAGTAGAGACCAGTAAGAGACCCAGTAGAGACAGAGAGACAGTAGACCCAGTAGAGACCAGTAGAGACCAGTAGAGACATAGAGACCCAGTTAGAGAGCCAGAATGAACAGTAAGAGACCCAGTAGAGGACAGAAAGAGAGGCCACAGTAGAGACCAGGACGGACCATAGAGATAGAGACCCAGTAGAGACCAACAGAGGTATAGTTATAATGACCCAGTGTTGAAGACAGGTTAGAGAGAGATTAGAGACATAATGTAGAGACAGAAGAGACCAGTAGAGACAAGAGACCCAGAGAGACAGAAGACGTTAGAGACCCAGTGAGAAACAAACTCAGTAGGACGTAGAACCATGAGTCAACAGAGACAGTAAAGACCATTGAGTAGACAGAGAGAGAGGTAGAGACCCAGTAGAGACAGAAGAGACCCAGTAGAGACAGATGAGACCCAGCAGAGACCCAGTAGAGACAGAAGTGACCCAGCAGAGACCCAGTAGAGACAGAAGAGACCCAGTAGAGACCCAGAAGAGACCCAGTAGAGACAGAAGAGACCCAGTAGAGACAGAAGAGACCCAGTAGAGACAGAAGAGACCCAGTAGAGACAGAAGAGACCCAGTAGAGACAGAAGAGACCCAGTAGAGAGACAGTAGAGACTGCTGAGAACGAGGCCTGCAGGAGAAATAGATCCCTCAACCACCAAAAATAACATTTACAAACAAAGACTAAAATATAGGCCTACCCCAAGGCATGATCTATGATTAGCATACAATGAATGGGATATGATTATGAAGAACCCCCATCTTTCTATCCCTAACCTTTTCTCTGCTCCACTTTTCCCTCCCCATACTACATTTTCATTCTTCATCTCATCTCTGTCTCTCTCCCAATTCTCTCCGTCTCCCATCTCTCTCTCCCATTCTCTCTCCTCTCTCCCCCATATCTCTTCTGTCTGTTCCCCACTTCTCTCCCTACCCCTTTCTCTCCGTCTCTCTCCCCCATCTCTCTCTCAGTCTCTCTCCCCCATCTTTCTCTCCCTACCCATCTCTTTCTATCCCCATCTCTCTCCATACCCCTTTCTCTCCCCATCTCTCTCAGCCTCTCTCCCCATCTCTCTCTCCCCCATCTCTCTCAGTCTCTTCCCCCATCCTCTACTTCCCCATCTCTCTCCATCTCATCTCTCTCCCCCATCTCTCCTCATCCGTCTCTCTCCCTTATCCTCTCTCTCCCCATCTCTCTCTCCTCTCTCCCCTCCCCCCATCTCTCTCTCCCCCATCTCTCTCTCTCTGTCTTTCTCCCCCATCTTTCTCTCCCTACCCCTTTCTTTGGTTGAATGCATTCAGTTGTGCAACTGACTAGGAATCCTTTCCCTTCCTTCTCTGTGTCTCTTTAACCAGTCATCATGGCTGGTTAAAGTACCAATAATAAATAACTAAAAATACATGTGTTTCATAATTTTCCTTCAATTCGCAAGAGGCTCAATCTATCTCTCCGGAGAAAGCATCTGAGTGAGCGAAACAGCGCCCCTCTGTCTCTCTACGTGTAGGCCATCTATCTGATGCTGTCTGGTCCAAACGAGTATGACATTGTTGCCTCCCGTAGCATTGAATGGAACGCAAGGGAAGCCAGCAAGCATTTGGCCTCCCTTGATAAAAAAGTTTTACAAATTAGCGTTGAGCTAAACTGAGTGAGCTCAACTGTGAATGGTCCTGGCGCACCAATAAAAAGTGTCAAAAGAAGTCAGTTTGGATTTGGCTTCACTCCTATCACATCACATTCAGAGCATACGTCATTGACAGAAACAACTTGAATTGTTGCATCTCGTTGTGTTGTTGTCCTCCGGTGGCTAGCCAGCTAGCTAAAATGGTCCCTTTCCTAAATTAGCCATGGATGGAGATAGGGATTTGGACTTGTGGTTTTACTTAATTCTCCATACTGGCCAATGATTATAACGGCGATCCTGATCCAACCATTAATTCATACATTGTTGTGCCCCTGGCCTGAGTGGATGGAAGTGGTTTTTCCACTGCCTATAGGGTGAATGCACCAATTTGTGAGTCGCTCTGTTTAAGAGCGTCTGCTAAATGACGTAAATGTGCCCTTGAGCAAGGCACTTAACCCTAATTGCTCCTGTAAGTCGCTCTGGATAAGAGCGTCTGCTAAATTACTAAAATGTAAAATGTAAATGGAAGTTCAATATGTAGCTAGATGTAGAAGGCTAATGTTAACTAGCTAACATTGCCCATGAAAGGAAGTTAGGCTAGTGAGCAAGAATCTTAGCCAGGTAGCCTAGGACAACCAAAACTAAAAGCGTGTACTGTATGACAGAGTGATGGACCGTTTCGTCAACATGAAAGAGAGGAGGATGGCACATGTTTTTGTACTTGCATGAACACACACACACGCACACACACACACACGCACACGCACGCACGCACACAAACAAACATGGACACAGAAATCAGAAGCATGGACAGCCACAGCATATTTAGCTTACGTTAATTGGACTAAATTGTTTTTGGTATCTTTTAGTTGTCTCTGTATTAGACTAAGCAGAGGTGATTTGATGATGTTCAAATGTTGAAGTTGAAATGGTGCTGGAATAGTGGAGGCAGCTCCTGTTTTCTTTGCGACTTGCGGTAACTCTCTGTGGTTCTAAATCAATAGTTGTTTAGTGGTCCGGAAAATGTCAGAAACATTAACTTGCTTGACCATGCTGTAGGTCATGTAACTGTTTGTTACATGCAATATGCTTTATGGACTTCACCGGACAGAGGATGCTCTTTGGTTTTGTGATGAAACAAAGGTGTGGTTGAATTTGTTCTGCCACTGTGTCTTATTGTCTCGGCCTTTAGGCCTATATATCACAGTGGCACAAGGCATATGAACTAACAGGTTACAGAGCAAACAACGCAATTATCACAACACATAGGTTGTAATATGTTTTTTTTTTTTTTGGCTTCCCCAGTGATTTTATCCACGCACCACTACTGCACCATGGAACCTTTTGGGGCAGCTTGTGTCTGTTGAGAAACTGGAGGCCTGTGGCATTGCCCTGCTCAGATTACAAGCTTCTCTCACAGAGTATGTCTCTATCAGGTGAAGAGACACAGAGACACAGAAACGTTCTTCTCCCCTACCTTGGCGTGTGATCACGGGCCTCGTGGACATGGCTGACGATACAGCAGAGGTCGCTGCGGTAACAGAATTCCCAGCGGTGCTTCCGGACTCCTGAGATCCATCCCTGTGGTTGGCGTTGACGTCCTGCTCCGCCTGGATAATGGGATTGGACTGCAGACGGGGGAATACAGGAGTGGGTATTCGTGAAACAAGGTATTCCATCACTGTGTTCTTGCAGAAGCTGTTGTATGCTCCTGTCTCCTATTCCTTGATTAGCCACATAAGATTGTTTCAAATAAACCCCTACTTACGGCAACACTCTGGTCATCCTGAAAGTCCCCTCCATTGTCGAATTCTGATGGAGAAACAAAAAGGGTATTCAATCACAGATAAATCCCACACGATAGCGCCAACGACAACATTCAACCATCTCGAGTTTAACCCCAAGTGATGTGGTCTGAGTACTGTTTAGAGTGGGTAATGCTCACCCTCTTGTTGTAGGATCTTTAACCCCTCCCGTGCCTCAGTGTGTAGGTCTTCCAGGTACTGAGGACGGCTGCCCTCGATGAACACATTCTCCTGGTAGTGTGAGGAGGCTGTGTAGTGAACTGTCAACCTCTTCTGCTCATCCTGACCCTTAGGACCAGCTAGAGAGAGAGAGAGAGAGGGAGAAGAGAGAGAGAGAGAGAGAGAAAGAGAGAAAGAGAGAGAGTTTAATAACAATGTATTCATCACCAAGAGATAGTGATTGTGTTATCCGTCTCTTCAACAACTCCATATATCCCATAAATCAAACAGGAAGTTGTGCCTGAGGGGTCAGTTACAAGTGCCCCCTGTGCCATAAAGATTCGGACCTCTTGATAGACCTTGTTATATGCTCACACATAGAGGAACCCTACACAGTGATGTGACTGCTTACTGGTTAGTGACTGGCACCAGGACCTGTATAACAGTACTTGGCAACACATTACATTGAAGGCATTAGAGCCCTAGAACATCCTGACTCTTAATCAGAGTAGACTGACTCCCCTATCTGGTCTTTAATTCCATCCAATACCAAATGACTTCCTCCTCACTCTCTCCTCCCTCCTTCTCCTCTCTCTCTGTCTCTCTGTCTCTCCGTCTCTCTCTCTCTCTCTCTCTCTCTCCTTCTCTCCTCTCCATATCCCTCTCGCTCTCCCTATCTGCCTCTCTCTCTCTCTCTCTCTCTCTCTCTCTCTCTCTCTCTCTCTCTCTCTCTCTCTCTCTGTCTCTCTCTCTGTCTCTCGCTCTCTCTGTCTCTAGTATTTGATGGAGGTTTGACAATGAGATGCCATCTGTTTCATCACCAGTCTCTCTTGGCATGTGTGTATAATTGGCCTGTCCCAATCTGCCCGGCAGACGTCTTGCCTTCGCCACCCCAGAGAGCTAACCCCGGATTGGCTCCTCCCCGGCGTATCTCAACCCAGGTAGTCCATATGGGGGAGGTAATCTGGATTGGCCTGGTACTGCATCCCAAATGGCACCCTATTCCCTAGATAGTGCACTAGAGCCCATATGGCCCTGGTCGAAAATAGTGCACTTCGAACGTAATAGGGTGCTATTTGGGGCGGCAGGTAGCTTAGTGGTTAAGAGCGTTGTGCCAGTAATTGAAAGGTTGCTGGTTCTAATCCCCGAGCCGACTAGGTGAAAAATCTGTCGATGTGCCCTTGAGCAAGGCACTTAACCCTAATTGCTCCTGTAAGTCACTCTGGATAAGAGCGTCTGCTAAATGACTAAAATGTAATGTAAATATTTGGGATGCAGCCCTGGTCTGGTTCCAAGATAAACATGCTGCTGCGGTCATAAGTGGCCTGGGAATTCAACATGAGTTTGTTGACATGAGGTTAGAGTAGTGGGGAGATAGAGAGGTTAGAGTAGTGGGGAGACAGAGATGTTAGAGTAGTGGGGAGACAGAGAGGTTAGAGTAGTGGGGGAGACAGAGAGGAACGAAGTAGTGGGGATACAGAGGATGTTTAGAGTAGTGGGGGAGAGGGAAGACAGAGAGGGCTAGAGTAGTGGGAATACAAGAGGGTTAGAGTAGTGGGTGAGACAGAGATGGTTAGAGTAGTGGGGTAGGACCAGAGATGTTCGAGTAGTTGGGGAGGGACCAGGAGGGTTGAGAGTAGTGGGGAGACAGAGAGGTTAGATGTAGTGGGGAGACAGAGACGGTTTAGAGTAGTGGGGTGAGACAGAGGAAGGAGAGGTAGAGTAGGGGGAGACAGAGAGGTTAGAGTAAGTAGTGGGAGACAGAGAGGTTAGAGGAGACAAGAGAGGTTAGAGTAGGTGGGGAGACAGAGAGGGTTAGAGGAGAACGAGATGTTAGAGGTAGAAGAGAGGTTAGGGGAGGGAGAGGAGACAAAAGGTTTAAAGATGGGAGACCAGAGAGGTTGAGTAGTGGGGAGACAGGAGGTTAGAGGAGACAGAGAGTTAGAGTAGGGGAAGAGGGTAAGGGAAAAGAAAAGGTTTAGAGTAGTGGGGAGACAGAGAGGTTAAGGAGACAGAGAGGTTAGAGTATTTGGGGGAGACAGAGAGGTTAGAGGAGAAGAGAGGTTGGGGTAGTGGGGGAGAAAGAGAGGTTAGAGGAGACAGAGAGGTTAGAGTAGGGGGGAGACAGAGAGGTTAGAGGGGGAGAGAGGTGAGACAGAGAGGTTAGAGTAGTGGGGAGACAGAGAGGTTAGAGGAGACAGAGAGGTTAGAGTAGTGGGGAGACAGAAGGTTAGGGAGACGGGAGGAGGTTAGAGTAGGGGGAAAGGAGGTTAGAGGAGACAGAGAGGTTGAGTAGTGGGGGGACAGAAGGTTAGAGGAGACAGAGAGGTTAGATTTAGTGGGGAAAACAGAGAGGTTAGAGGAGACAGAGGGTTAGGTAGTGGGAAAAGGAAGGGAAAAAGGTTGAGTAGTGGGGGACAGAGAGGTTTAGAGTAGTGGGGAAAAGGAAAGCGGGGTTTAGGGGAGACAGAGAGGTTAGAGTAGTGGGAAAACAGAGAGGTTGAGGAGACAGAGAGGTTTAGAGTAGTGGGGAGAACAGAGAGGTTAGAGGAGACAGAGAGGTTAGAGTAGTGGGGAGCCCAGAGGGTTAGAGGGAGACAGAGGGGTTAGAGTTAGTGGGAAAGGAACAGAGAGGTTAGGGGGGGAGACAGAGAGGTTAAAGGAGTGCGGGGAGGGACGGGAGAGGTTAGGGGGGGAGACAGAAGAGGGTTAGAGTAGTGGGGAGACAGAGAGGTTAGAGTATGGGGGAGACAGAGGGGTTTAGAGTAGTGGGAGACAGAGCGAGGGTTAGAGGAGACCAGAGAGGTTAGAGTGGGGAGACAGAGAGGTTAGTAGGGGAGACAGAGAGGTTAGAGTAGGGGGAGACAAGAGGTTAGAGGGGGGGTGGGAGACAGAGAGGTTAGAGTAGTGGGGAGACAGAGAGGTTAGAGGGGGGAGACAGAACAGAGAGTTAGAGTAGTGGGGAGACGGGAAGGTTAGGTAGTGGGGAGACAAAAGAGGTTAGTAGTGGGGAGACAGAGAGGTTAGTAGTGGGAGACAGAGAGGTTAGAGTAGTGGGGAGACGAGAGGTAGTAGGGACAGAGAGTTAAGAGTGGGGGGAGCCCAGAGGAGGTTAGAGTAGTGGGGAAAGAGAGGTTAGAGTAGTGGGGAGACAGAGAGGTTAGAGTAGTGGGGAGACAGAGAGTTTAGAGTAGTGGGAGACAGAGAGTTGGGAGAGACGAGGGTAGAGATAGGAGAAAGGGGTTTAAAAGTAGTGGGGAGGCAGAGAGGTTTAGAGTAGTGGGGAGACAGAGAGGTTAGGGGAGACAGAGAGGTTAGAGTAGTGGGAGACAGAGAGGTTAGAGTAGTGGGGGGAAAGGAGAGGTTAGAGTAGTGGGGGGACAGAGGGGGTTAGAGTAGTGGGGAGAGAGAGGTTAGAGTAGTGAGGAGACAGAGAGGTTAGAGTAGGGGGAGACAGAGAGGTTAGAGGAGACAGAGAGGTTAGAGTAGTGGGGGACAGATAGGTTAGAGGAGACAGAGAGGTTAGAGTAGTGGGGAGACAGAGAGGTTTAGAGTAGTGGGGAGACAGAGAGGTTAGAGTAGTGAGGAAAACAGAGAGGTTAGAGTAGTGGGGGGGACAGAAGAGGGTTAGAGTAGTGGGGAGACAGAGAGGTTAGAGGAGACAGAGGGTTAGAGTAGGGGGAGACCGAGAGGTTAGAGTAGTGGGGAAAACAGAGGGGTTTAGAGTATGTGGGGAGCAGAGAGGTTAGAGTAGTGGGGGGAGACAGGAGTTTAGAGTAATGGGGGACAGAGAGGTTAGAGGAGACAGAGAGGTTAGATATGAGGAGGAGACAGAGAGGTTAGAGTAGTGGGGAGGCAGAGAGGTTAGAGTAGTGGGGAGACAGAGAGGTTAGAGGAGACAGAGAGGTTTAGAGTAGTGGGGAGACAGAGAGGTTAGAGTAGTGGGGAGAGAGGAGAGGTTAGAGTAGTGGGGGAGGACAGAGGAGGTTAGAGTAGTGGGGAGACAGAGAGGTTAGGAGTAGTGAGGGAGACAGAGAGGTTAGAGTAGTGGGGAGACAGAGAGGTTAGAGGAGACAGAGAGGTTAGAGTAGTGGGGAGACAGATAGGTTAGAGGGAGACAGAGAGGTTTAGAGTAGTGGGGGAGACAGAGAGGTTAGAGTAGTGGGGAGACAGAGAGGGTTAGAGTAGTGAGGAGACAGAGGTTTAGAGGAGACAGAGAGGTTAGAGTAGTGGGGAGACAGAGAGGGTTAGAGGAGACAGAGAGGTTAGAGTAAGTGGGGAGACAGAGAGGTTAGAGTAGTGGGGAGACAGAGAGGTTAGAGTAGTGGGAGGACAGAGAGGTTAGAGGTAGTGGGGAGACAGAGACGGTTAGAGTAGTGGGGAGACAGGAGGTTAGAGGAGACAGAGAGGTTAGAGGAGACAGAGAGGGTTAGAGTAGTGAGGAGACAGGAGGTTTGAGGAGACAGAGAGGTTAGAGTAGTGGGGAGACAGAGAGGTTAGAGTAGTGGGGGAGACAGAGAGGTTAGAGTAGTGGGGGGACAGAGAGGTTAGAGTAGTGGGGAGACTGAGAGGTTAGAGTAGTGGGGAGACCGAGAGGTTAGAGGAGACAGAGAGGTTTAGAGTAGTGGGGAGACAGAGAGGTTAGAGTAGTGGGGGAGACAGAGAGGTTAGAGTAGTGGGGAGACAGAGGGGTTAGAGTAGTGAGGAGACAGAGAGGTTAGAGTAGTGGGGAGACAGAGAGGTTAGAGTAGTGGGGAGACAGAGAGGTTAGAGGAGACGGAGAGGTTAGAGTAGTGGGGAGACAGAGAGGTTAGAGTAGTGGGGAGAGACAGAGAGGTTAGAGTAGTGGGGAGGACAGAGAGGTTTAGAGTAGTGGGGAGACAGAGAGGTTAGAGTAGGGGGAAGAGAGGAGAGAGGTTTAGAGGAGACAGAGAGGTTAGAGTAGTGAGGAGACAGAGAGGTTAGAGTAGTGGGGAGACGAGAGGTTAGAAGTAGTGGGGAGACAGAGAGGTTAGAGGGCGACAGAGAGGTTAGAGGAGTGGGGAGACAGAGAGGTTGAGTGGGGGAGACAGAGAGGTTAGAGTAGTGGGGAGACAGAGAGGTTAGAGTAGTGGGGAGACAGAGAGGTTAGAGTAGTGAGGAGACAGAGAGGTTAGAGTAGTGGGGAGACAGAGAGGTTAGAGGAGACAGAGAGGTTAGAGTAGTGGGAGACAGAGAGGTTAGAGGAGACAGAGAGGTTAGAGGAGACAGAGAGGTTAGAGTAGTGGGGAGACAGAGAGGTTAGAGGAGACAGAAGGTTAAAGTATGGGGAGACAGAGAGGTTAGAGTAGTGGGGACGACAGAGAGGAGACAGAGAGGTTTAGAGGAGACAGAGAGGTTAGAGGAGACAGAGAGGTTAGAGTAGTGAGGAGACAGAGAGGTTAGAGGAGACAGAGAGGTTAGAGTAGTGGGAGACAGAGAGGTTAGAGGAGACAGAGAGGTTAGAGTAGTGGGGAGACAGAGAGGTTAGAGTAGTGGGGAGACAGAGAGGTTAGAGTAGTGGGGAGACAGAGAGGTTAGAGTAGTGGGGGAGACAGAGAGGTTAGAGTAGTGGGGAGACAGAGAGGTTAGAGAAGTGGGGAGACAGAGAGGTTAGAGGAGATAGAGAGGTTAGAGTAGTGGGGAGACAGAGAGGTTAGAGTAGTGGGGAGACAGAGAGGTTAGAGGAGACAGAGAGGTTAGAGGAGACAGAGAGGTTAGAGTAGTGAGGAGACAGAGAGGTTAGAGGAGACAGAGAGGTTAGAGTAGTGGGGAGACAGAGAGGTTAGAGTAGGGGGAGACAGAGAGGTTAGAGGAGACAGAGAGGTTAGAGTAGTGGGGAGACAGAGAGGTGAGAGTAGTGGGGAGACAGAGAGGTTAGAGTAGTGGGGAGACAGAGAGGTTAGAGTAGTGGGGAGACAGAGAGGTTAGAGTAGTGGGGAGACAGAGAGGTTAGAGGAGACAGAGAGGTTAGAGTAGTGGGGAGACAGAGAGGTTAGAGAAGTGGGGAGACAGAGAGGTTAGAGGAGACAGAGAGGTTAGAGTAGTGAGGAGACAGAGCGGTTAGAGGAGACAGAGAGGTTAGAGTAGTGGGGAGACAGATTGTGTGCTGTAGCAGGCTTGACATTTCAAGGGAGTGTAGTAAATGGGCACCAGTGAGCCCTGTTGGAGGGTAAGATTACTACAGTACCTGTGCCATACAAGTCCAGACCTCTTAGCAGAAGTATCGTACTCTAAGATACAGAGCAGGAATGACATATGTCTGTGTCAGTTCTGTTCTATTCTGTTTTCTTCTGCTACTCATTGTATAATAGATAGATACGGTGCATTGGGAAAGTATTCAGACCCCTTCCCTTTTTCCACATTTTGTTACGTTACAGCCTTATTCTAAAATGGATTAAAATATTATTTTTTTTCAACAATCTACACACAATACCCCATAATGACAAAGCGAAAAAATACATAAGTATTCAGACCCTTTGCTATGAGACTCGAAATTGAGCTCAGGTGCATCCTGTTTCCATTGATCATCCTTGAGATGTTTCTACAAGTTGATTGGAGTCCACCTGTGGTAAATTCAATTGATTGGATATGATTTGGAAAGGCACACACCTGTCTATATAAGGCCCCACAGTTGACAGTGCATGTCAGAGCAAAAACCAAGCCATGAGGTCAAAGTAATTGTCCGTAGAGCTCCGAGACAGGATTGTGTTGAGGCACAGATCTGGGGAAGGGTAGCAAAACACTTCTGAAGCTTTGAAGGTCCCCAAAAACACAGTGGCCTCCATCATTCTTAAATGGAAGAAGTTTGGAACCACCAAGACTCTTCCTAGAGCTGGCCGCCAAGCCAAACTGAGCAATCGGGGGAGAAGGGCCTTGATCAGGGAGGTGACCAAGAACCTGATGGTTACTCTTACAGAGCTCCTGGATTCCTCTGTGGAGATGGGAGAACCTTCCAGAAGGACAACCATCTCTGCAGCACTCCAACAATCAGGCCTTTATGGTAGAGTGGCCAGACGGAAACCACTCCTCAGTAAAAGGCACATGACAGCCCGCTTGGAGTTTGCCAAAAGGCACCTAAAGAACTCTCAGACCATGAGAAACAAGATTCTCTGGTCTGATGAAACCAAGATTGAACTCTTTGGCCTGAATGCCAAGCGTCGCATCTGGAGTAAACCAGACACCATCCCTACGGTGAAGCATGGTGGTGGTAGCTTCATGCAGTATGAAAATGTATGCACTCACTCACTGTAAGTCGCTCTGGATAAGAGCGTCTGCTAAATGACTAAAATGAAAAATGAAAATGTTTTTCAGTGGCAGGGACTGGGAGACTAGTCAGGATCGAGGGAAAGATGAACGGAGCAAAGTACAGAGAGATCCTTGATGAAAACCTGCTCAGAGCGCTCAGGACCTCAGACTGGGGTGACGGTTCACCTTCCAACAGGACAACGACCCTAAGCACACAGCCAAGACAACGCAGCAGTGGCTTCGGGACAAGTCTCTGAATGTCCTTGAGTGGCCCAGCCAGAGCCCGGACTTGAACCTGATCAAACATTTCTGGAGAGTCCTGAAAATAGCCGTGCAGCAACGCTCCCCATCCAACCTGACAGAGGTTGAGAGGATCTGCAGAGAAGAATGGGAGAAACTCCCCAAATACAGGTGTGCCAAGCTTGTAGCGTCATACCCAAGAAGACTCAAGGCTGTAATCGCTGCTAAGGGTGCTTCTACAAAGTAGTGTGTAAAGGGTCTGAATACTTATGTAAATGTAATATTTCAGTTTTTTAAATTTCCACAAACCTGTTTTTGCTTTGTCATTATGGGGGTATTGTGTGTAGATTGATGAGGATTATAAAAAAAAAAAAAATCAATTTTAGAATAAGGCTGTAACATAACAAAATGTGGAAAAGCCAAGGGGTCTGAATACTTTCCGAATGCACTGTATATACATACATATGTCCATATCGTATGTCCATATCGTATGTCCATATCGTATGTCCATATCGTATGTCCATATTGTATCTCCATATGTAAAGTCTTAATTGCGTCTGACAGTGTTAGTTCCATAATGCCCTGACTTTTCCCACAGTCACAAACGGGGAAGGGCCTTGTGTCTGGTAGGGGTACAGGTGCGTGTCTGTCACCTGAGAGGTGTACTGTTATCACACACACACACACACACACACACACACACACACACACACACACTCACACACACACACACCACACACACACACACACACACACACACACACACACACACTCACACTCACACTCACACTCACACTCACACACACAGACACACACACACTCACACACACACACACACACACACACACAGACACACACACACACACACACAGACACACACACACACACACACACACACACACACACACACACAGACACACACACACACACACACACACACACACACACACACACACACACACTGTTGCATAACCATGTGTGTGAGACTGAGGGCTGTTCTGTTACCTGGGACAAAAGACAGAAAGGGAACACCCCCCTTAGTGACCTCTTAGTCAGGGGAACAGGAGAGGAACACTACCCCCCTTTACCAAGAGTCATCCCCCTAAGTCCTATAGTCTCCTCAGGGACCTCCAGACGTTTTCAGTATTTTGTTGCAGTCCTGAACTAGTTCACCTGATTCACCTAGTCAAGGGCTTGATGGTTAGTTGGCTGGATGAATCAGGTGTGCTAGCTGTGGAATAGTTGAAATACATGGAACGACTGGAAGTCCCAGAGGAGACGTTAGAAAACCCACTGCTCTAGTCTATCCACTAGACCACTAGACACTAACCCACTGCTCTAGTCTATCCACTAGACCACTAGACACTAACCCACTGCTCTAGTCTATCCACTAGACACTAACCCACTGCTCTAGTCTATCCACTAGACCACTATCCACTAACCCACTGCTCTAGTCTATCCACTAGACCACTAGACACTAACCCACTGCTCTAGTCTATCCACTAGACCACTAGACACTAACCCACTGCTCTAGTCTATCCACTATCCACTAACCCACTGCTCTAGTCTATCCACTAGACCACTAGACACTAACCCACTGCTCTAGTCTATCCACTAGACCACTATCCACTGACCCACTGCTCTAGTCTATCCACTAGACCACTAGACACTAACCCACTGCTCTAGTCTATCCACTAGACCACTAGAACACTAACCCACTGCTCTAGTCTATCCACTAGACCAATGCTCTAGTCTATCCACTAGACCACTAGACCAACTAACCCACTGCTCTAGTCTATCCACTAGACCACTAGACCACTAACCCACTGCTCTAGTCTATCCACTAGACCACTAGACACTAACCCACTGCTTCTCTAGTCTAAACCCACTGCTCTAGTCTATCCACTAGACACTAACCCACTGCTCTAGTCTATCCACTAGACACTAACCCACTGCTCTAGTCTATCCACTAGACACTAACCCACTGCTCTAGTCTATCCACTAGACCACTATCCACTAACCCACTGCTCTAGTCTATCCACTAGACACTAACCCACTGCTCTAGTCTATCCACTAGACACTAACCCACTGCTCTAGTCTATCCACTAGACACTAACCCACTGCTCTAGTCATCCACTAGACACTACCCACTGCTCTAGTCTATCCACTAGACACTAACCCACTGCTCTAGTCTATCCACTAGACCACTAGACACTAACCCACTGCTCTAGTCTATCCACTAGACCACTAGACACTAACCCACTGCTCTAGTCTATCCACTAGACCACTAGACACTAACCCACTGCTCTAGTCTATCCACTAGACCACTATCCACTAACCCACTGCTCTAGTCTATCCACTAGACACTAACCCACTGCTCTAGTCTATCCACTAGACACTAACCCACTGCTCTAGTCTATCCACTAGACACTAACCCACTGCTCTAGTCTATCCACTAGACACTAACCCACTGCTCTAGTCTATCCACTAGACACTAACCCACTGCTCTAGTCTATCCACTAGACACTAACCCACTGCTCTAGTCTATCCACTAGACACTAACCCACTGCTCTAGTCTATCCACTAGACACTAACCCACTGCTCTAGTCTATCCACTAGACACTAACCCACTGCTCTAGTCTATCCACTAGACACTAACCCACTGCTCTAGTCTATCCACTAGACCACTGCTCTAGTCTATCCACTAACCCACTGCTCTAGTCTATCCACTCTGTATAGCTTTGTGTGCTCTGAGATTCACATATTGGCAGCATATTGTCTAATACCCAGGAGATCCCCTTTAGTCCAACAGACCCACTACTCAATCTGTACAGTTCTGTGGACATTCACACACACTCTGGTGGTGCCTACAAGCTTAATGGGATAGACCGCGTTCATTATTTTATGGTGGTGCCAACAATGATAACGTTTTACTGCCTTAAGACTCCCCACGAGGAGTTTAATGGTCTCTAAGTTGAGACCCCAAAACGCCAGGCATTTCATTCTATTAGTGAAGCTCCCTAACTCACGCCATGCAGGATTAGCTGGCTCCTTGCAGCTTGTGTGTGTGTGTGTGCGTACGTGGTGCGTCACTCTGGTCACATCACCATAACAAACGCACAACTACTCATCTCTCTTTCACCAGTCCTCTGTCACCATCCTTCTGTTTCTACAGTTTTTCTCCAGTCCTCTTTCTATCCTTCTGTTTCTACAGTCTTTCTCCAGACCTCTTTCCATCCTTCTGTTACTACAGTCTTTCACCAGTCCTCTTTCCATCCTTCTATTTCTACAGTCTTTCACCAGTCCTCTTTCCATCCTTCTATTTCTACAGTCTTTCACCAGTCCTCTTTCCATCCTTCTGTTTCTACAGTCTTTCACCAGTCCTCTTTCCATCCTTCTGTTTCTACAGTCTTTCACCAGTCCTCTTTCCATCCTTCTGTTTCTACAGTCTTTCACCAGTCCTCTTTCCATCCTTCTGTTTCTACAGTCTTTCACCAGTCCTCTTTCCATCCTTCTGTTACTACAGTCTTTCTCCAGACCTCTTTCACCATCCTTCTGTTTCTACAGTCTTTCACCAGTCCTCTGTCACCATCTTTATGTTTCTACACTAGTACACCACATCAGTCACTGGCTTCATCAATAAGTGCATCGATGACGTCATCCCCACTGTGACCGTACATACATACCCCAACCAGAAGCCATGGATTACAGGAAACATCCGCACTGAGCTAAAGGGTAGAGCTGTCGCTTTCAAGGAGCTGGACTCTGAACTCGGACGCTTATAAGAAATCCCACTATGCCCTCCGACGAACCATCAAACAGGCAAAGAGTTAATACAGGACTAAGATTGAATCGTACTACACCGACTCCGACGTTCGTCGGATGTGGCAGGGCTTGAAAACTATTGCAGACTACAAAGGGAAGCACCGACCTGTAGCAGTCACGTCTGTAGCCATGAAGTGCTTTGAAAGTCTGGTCATGGCCCGCATCAACACCATTATATCAGAAACCCTAGACTCACTCCAATTTGCATACCAGCCCAACAGATCCACAGATGATGCAATCTCTATTGCACTCCACACTGCCCTTTCCCACCTGGACAAGAGGAACATCTACGTGAGAATGCTATTAATTGACTACAGCTCAGCATTCAACAGCATACTGCCCTCAAAGCTCATCACTAAGCTAAGGACCCTGGAACTAAACACCTCCCTTTGCAACTGGATCCTGGACTTCCTGACGGGCCGCTCCCAGGTGGTAAGGGTAGGTAACAACACATCTGCCACACTGATCCTCAACACGGGGGCCCCTCAGGGGTGCGTGCTCAGTCCCCTCCTGTACTCCCTGTTCACCCATGACTGCATGGCCAGGCACGACTCCAACACCATCATTAAGTTTGCCGACGACACAACAGTGGTAGGTCTGATCACTGACAACAATGAGACAGCCTATAGGGAGGAGGTCAGAGACCTGGCCGTGTGGTGCCAGGATAACAACCTCTCCCTCAACGTGACCAAGACAAAGGAGATAATTGTGGACTACAGGAAAAAAAGAGGACTGAGCACGCCCCCATTCTCATCGACAGGGCTGTAGTGGAACAGGTTGAGAGCTTCAAGTTCCTTGGTGTCCACATCACCAACAAACTATCATGGTCCAAACACACCAAGACAGTCGTGAAGAGGGCACGACAAAGCCTATTCCCCCTCAGGAGACTGAAAAGAATTAGCATGGGTCCTCAGATCCTCAAAATGTTCTACAGCTGCACCATCGAGAGCATCCTGACTGGTTGCATCACCGCCTGGTATGGCAACTGCTTGGCCTCCGACCGCAAGGCACTACAGAGGGTAGTGCGTACGGCCCAGTACATCACTGGGGCCAAGCTTCCTGCCATCCAGGACCTCTATACCAGACGGTGTCAGAGGAAGGCCCTAAAAATTGTCAAAGACTCCAGCCACCCTAGTCATAGACTGTTCTCTCTGCTACCACATGGCAAGCGGTACCGGAGCGCCAAGTCTAGGTCCAAGAGGCTTCTTAACAGCTTCTACCCCCAAGCCATAAGACTCCTGAACAGCTAATCATGGCTACCCAGACTATTTGCACTGCCCCCCCACCCCACCCCATCCCCCTCTTTTACGCTGCTGCTACTCTGTTTATTATTTATGCATAGTCACTTTAACTCTACCCACATGTACATATTACCTCAACTACCTCAACTAGCCGGTGCCCCCGCACATTGACTCTGTACCGGTACCCCCTGTATTTAGCCTCCCTACTGTTATTTTATTTTATTGCTGCTCTTTAAGTATTTGCTATTTTTATTTTTTACTTAACACTTTTCTTATTTTCTTAACATTGCGTTGTTGGTTAAGGGCTTGTTAGTAAGCATTTCACTGTAATGTCAACACCTGTTGTATTCGGCCCATGTGGTTTTGATTTGATTTGACGGAAAATGCTGCCATAACCTGATAGAGGATTCAAGACATATCTGATCTCTCAAACATCCACACTGTTTGATGTCATATCTATAAAACAGGTAGTGTAGGGTCTTTCAAACATCCATGAAAAGTTGTCACTCATTCAGACACAAGACTACACCAAAACAGCCGGTCAACCAATCCGAACATAAACATACAACTTTCCAGATCAGCAACATAACTCCCATCGTACTCACCCTTCTTCTTGAAGACGGAGAGCAGAGAACGAATGTTTTTCCTCAGGTACACCACCATGTCTACACTGAGACCATGACGAGGAGAAGAGAGGAAAACGTCTATCCAAAATATCCTATTTCATTCTCTGTGGACTGGAATCGAACGCCAAGAGAGAGATCTAGACAAGTGTCCAGTTGCTCCGGATAAAAACATCTGGTGAAATACTGAAAAAAAGCCAAATGTAGACTATGTACCCAATCTCTATAGGTCTGTAGTCGTCTTTGGCTCTCTGTCATAGAACTAGAGAGTCATGAGGTCTTGTCCTCTTAGACAAGTGTCCAGTCGCTCTCAGCAACAGTTTTGGCGAAATAAAAAAACCATATTTCCAATCTATGGTGGTTTGTGGTAGTCTTTTGGATGTCTCTGTCTGTCTGTTTTGTAGTGGTCTGCAATAGTCTGTGGTAGAGTTGGAGAGTCACGACGTCTAGTCCCCTGGTCTTAGCTAGCTCAGTGACAGAATGACTGGTTAACGACTAAGTAGGTTGGACACGATGAGACCTGCATGCCCCCTGAGCCGAGTAGCCTATCAGCTGCTTTATCCCTCCCTCCCTCACGCCTATGAGACCTGCATGCCCCCTGAGCCGAGTAGCCTATCAGCTGCTTTATCCCTCCCTCCCTCAACGCCTATGAGACCTGCATGCCCCCTGAGCCGAGTAGCCTATCAGCTGCTTTATCCCTCCCTCCCTCACGCCTTTAGAACTCCCCCTCTATTGTCAAACAAGGACAAACCCCCTGAGTGAAACGTCTGTCAAAGCGTTTGGCTTGGGTTTGGCTGGAGGGCTAGACACACGATCAACGAAGAGACGTCACACACACACACCACACACCACACACACACACACACACACACACTACCTACACACACACACACACCAACACACACCACACCACAGGACACACACCACCCACACACACACACACATACCCACACACACACACCCACACACACACACACACACACACACACACACCACACACCCACCCACCAGACCCACACACACACAAAACACCACACACCACACCCACACACCGACACCACAAACCCGACACACAAAACACACACCACACACCAACACACACACCACCCACACTAACGACACACCTAAAAACACACACACACCGATCACCTACAACCACAACACCACCACACACCACACACACACACACACACACCACACACAGACACACACACACACACACACACAACACACACACACACACACACACACACACACACACACACACACACACACACACACACACACACACACACACACACACACACACACACACACACACACAGACACAGACACACACACACACACACACACACACACACACACACACACACACACACACACACACACACACACACACACACTCCCCCCAGGAGTTCCTTGTTAATGCCAACCAAGTTTAGAGTCTGATGCACACCACACTACACCCAAAGGAATTCTGGGTTGTTTGGTTGACCCAACTGCTGGGTTGCAGGCGTTGGGTTGTTTTCTTTAAAAAAAAGAACATGGTTGGGGTTGTTGATGCTGGGTTATTGGTGCTGGATTATTGAGATGTTACCCATCGGGTCAGATCAGAAGATTTGAGGCGTAGTTTAGTCGGGGTGTGGCCTTCAGATAGCTCTTTTTGGCTACCTGTGAGAGTTAATGTCGTTCCAATGTATTGTCAGTGTTATTCCAACAGATATTATCTTATTATATAATATGTCATAAATAAACGTAATATTCAAGAAGAATGTGTAAAATACCCCCCCAAAATTATGAAAAAATAAAAATGCAGTATGTAAACTTAACACGATGAACAGGAATGACATTTACTCTCATGGGTAGCCAATAAGATAATTTGAAAGCCACATCCCTAATAATCCATGCCACCTGAAAATAACCTAAGGATTACATTAAAAAAGCCAAGCTGCTGGGTCAACCCAGCATGAAAGTAAAAAATACCTAACTGATGGTGAAATGAACCCATGTTTGTGTAATCCCAACAACCCAACATGTTGAGTTATTCACGCAACCCAACTGGCTGGGTCAAAAATAACCCAGCGTGTGTTCTGTCCAATATTTACCCAGCACTGGGTTACCAAAGAACCCAAATTGGGTTGTTTTTAACCCAACATTTCTTTGAGTGTACACACAGCACTCAATCTGTCTTTTTATTCTCTGTCCCCTGTCTCATTCTCTCCAATCTGACCCCCCACCCCCCCTCTCTCTCTAGTCCTCCAACATGTCTTTCTCTTTGTCCTAGAGAGGACTAGTCCTCCAACATGTCTCCCTCTTTGTCCAAGAGAGGACTAGTCCTCCAACATGTCTCCCTCTTTGTCCTAGAGAGGACTAGTCCTCCAACATGTCTCCCTCTTTGTCTTAGAGAGGACTAGTCCTCCAACATGTCTTTCTCTTTGTCCTAGAGAGGACTAGTCCTCCAACATGTCTCCCTCTTTGTCTTAGAGAGGACTAGTCCTCCAACATGTCTTTCTCTTTGTCCTAGAGAGGACTAGTCCTCCAACATGTCTCCCTCTTTGTCCTAGAGTGGACTAGTCCTCCAACATGTCTCCCTCTTTGTCCTAGAGAGGACTAGTCCTCCAACATGTCTCCCTCTTTGTCCTAGAGAGGACTAGTCCTCCAACATGTCTCCCTCTTTGTCCTAGAGAGGACTAGTCCTCCAACATGTCTCCCTCTTGTCCTAGAGAGGACTAGTCCTCCAACATGTCTCCCTCTTTGTCCTAGAGAGGACTAGTCCTCCAACATGTCTTTCTCTTTGTCCTCGAGAGGACTAGTCCTCCAACATGTCTCCCTCTTTGTCTTAGAGAGGACTAGTCCTCCAACATGTCTTTCTCTTTGTCTAGAGAGGACTAGTCCTCCAACATGTCTCCCTCTTTGTCCTAGAGTGGACTAGTCCTCCAACATGTCTCCCTCTTTGTCCTAGAGAGGACTAGTCCTCCAACATGTCTCCCTCTTTGTTCCTAGAGGAGGACTAGTCCTCCAACATGTCTCCCCTCTTTGTCCTAGAGAGGACTAGTCCTCCAAACTGTCTCCCCTCTTGTCCTAGAGAGGACTAGTCCTCCAACATGTCTCCCTCTTTGTCCTAGAGAGGACTAGTCCTCCAACATGTCTCCCTCTTTGTCCTAGAGAGGACTAGTCCTCCAACATGTCTCCCTCTTTGTCCTAGAGAGGACTAGTCCTCCAACATGTCTCCCTCTTTGTCCTAGAGAGGACTAGTCCTCCAACATGTCTCCCTCTTTGTCCTAGAGAGGACTAGTCCTCCAACATGTCTCCCTCTTTGTCCTAGAGAGGACTAGTCCTCCAACATGTCTCCCTCTTTGTCCTAGAGAGGACTAGTCCTCCAACATGTCTCCCTCTTTGTCCTAGAGAGGACTAGTCCTCCAACATGTCTCCCTCTTTGTCTTAGAGAGGACTAGTCCTCCAACATCTTTTTCTCTGTGTCCTAGAGAGGACTAGTCCTCCAACATGTCTCCCTCTTTGTCCTAGAGAGGACTAGTCCTCCAACATGTCTCCCTCTTTGTCCTAGAGAGGACTAGTCCTCCAACATGTCTCCCTCTTTGTCCTAGAGAGGAGCCTGTTCCGAACAGACAACATGTTCTGTATGTGATACCATCCAGCTGAACCGTGCCACTACCAGCCCAACCCAACCCTTACCCCTAAGGTTGGCATGGGGCAGGGACCCAGCCGGTGTACCCTGACAGGTGCCTCTAACTGTCCCAGACCACCAGCAGCGAAGTCAGCGTAGCGTGACAGCAGAGAGGTCAGAGATGGTGTGTATGTGTGACAGCAGAGAGGTCAGAGATGGTGTGTATGTGTGACAGCAGAGAGATCAGAGATGGTGTGTATGTGTGACAGCAGAGAGGTCAGAGATGGTGTGTATGTGTGACAGCAGAGAGGTCAGAGATGGTGTGTATGTGTGACAGCAGAGAGGTCAGAGATGGTGTGTATGTGTGACAGCAGAGAGGTCAGAGATGGTGTGTATGTGTGACAGCAGAGAGGTCAGAGATGGTGTGTATGTGTGACAGCAGAGAGGTCAGAGATGGTGAGTATGTGTGACAGCAGAGAGGTCAGAGATGGTGTGTATGTGTGACAGCAGAGAGGTCAGAGATGGTGTGTATGTGTGACAGCAGAGAGGTCAGAGATGGTGTGTATGTGTGACAGCAGAGAGGTCAGAGATGGTGTGTATGTGTGACAGCAGAGAGGTCAGAGATGGTGTGTATGTGTGACAGCAGAGAGATCAGAGATGGTGTGAATGTGTGACAGCAGAGAGGTCAGAGATGGTGTGTATGTGTGACAGCAGAGAGGTCAGAGATGGTGTGTATGTGTGACAGCAGAGAGGTCAGAGATGGTGTGTATGTGTGACAGCAGAGAGGTCAGAGATGGTGTGTATGTGTGACAGCAGAGAGGTCAGAGATGGTGTGTATGTGTGACAGCAGAGAGGTCAGAGATGGTGTGTATGTGTGACAGCAGAGAGGTCAGAGATGGTGTGTATGTGTGACAGCAGAGAGGTCAGAGATGGTGTGTATGTGTGACAGCAGAGAGGTCAGAGATGGTGTGTATGTGTGACAGCAGAGAGGTCAGAGATGGTGTGTATGTGTGACAGCAGAGAGGTCAGAGATGGTGTGTATGTGTGACAGCAGAGAGGTCAGAGATGGTGTGTATGTGTGACAGCAGAGAGGTCAGAGATGGTGAGTATGTGTGACAGCAGAGAGGTCAGAGATGGTGTGTATGTGTGACGCAGAGAGGTCAGAGATGGTGTGTATGTGTGACGCAGAGAGGTCAGGATGTATAGGGGGGGGAGAGGAGGAGAGAGGGAAAGGGAAGGGGGGGTGTATAGGGGGGAGAGGAGGGAGAAGGGGAGGGATATAGGGGGGGGAGAGGAGGGAGAGAGGGGAAGGGGAGGGAGGGGGAGGTTAGTTATAGGGGGGGAGAGGAGGGAGAGAGGGGGATATAGGGAGAGGGGGGGGGGGCCTGCATGCCTCCAAACCATGCCTCCTCCAAGTATGCACTCAAACACACATTACAAGAGTAGATGTAGACAAGAGTAGATGCACACACACACACACACACACACACACACACACACACACACACACACACACAACACACACACACCCACACACACACAAACACTGTAGACTCTGTTCTCTACCTTCAAGGGCCATGATGTCTGTAGATTCTGTTTTTCTCCCCTCTAGTAGTGATCATGATCATTGTCGTCCCATTTCCAGGCTCCCTTGTCTTGCGAAAATACTAGAATCATTGGTCAACAAACAGCTACTGTACGTTATTGTCTATCTGTAAATGGTATTCTTAATGTTACTCAATCCGGATTCAGACCTAAACATAGCACCACTACGACTACCATGCTTGTTGTAAATTATATTACAAATAGAAAGAATTGTGCTTCCATGTTTGAAGACTTGTCAAAGCTTTTGATACTGTAGACCATGTTATTCTGTTGAATAAGCTGTCCTCGATAGGGTTGGCTACTGATGCTTGCCGATGGGTTCATAATGACAGAACTCAGGCCATAAAGGTAGATGGGGTCAAATCTGAGTTCCTTGAGTTACATAAAGGGGTGCCCCAAGGTTCGATACTCAGCCCACTACTGTTTACAATCTATATACTGTAAATAACATTGGTAATGCTGTAAAAAAAAATGTAATATTCATTTGTATGCAGATAATGCAGTGTTGTATTCCATTGCTCCGTCGGTGGGCCAAACCTTTTCACATTTGAAGTCTGATTTTCAACCACTGCAGAGGTCACTATTGGATCTGAAGTTAGTGCTAAATGCAAACAAAACAAAATGCATGCTTTTTTTTTCTAGGTCCCATAACCCAGATTTAAATGAATTTGTAATGACTAGTTTGAACGGTACACAAATTGAGCGAGTTCCTTCCTACAAATATATTGATATCTGGCTTGATGACAAACTGTCATTTAAAAAACATGTCACTGAGCTGGTGAAGAAGTTGAGGTTCAAGGTTGGTTTCTTTTTATTTAATTTAGTTAATAGGAAGGTTATTGTCCTTTATGCATGCAGCAGCATCTACACTTAAACCACTAGATGCTGTTTCCCAATGTGCCCTTAGAGTAGGTTTATTACTGGTTATAGAACTCACCATTGTGCCCTTACATTTACGTCATTTAGCACAACCCTGGCGTTGCAAACGCCATGCTCTACCAACTGAGCTACATCCCCTGCCGGCCATTCCCTCCCCTATCCTGGACGACGCTGGGCCAATTGTGCGCCGCCCCATTGGTCTCCCGGTCGGCTACGACAGAGCCTGGATTCGAACCAGGATCTCTAGTGGCACAGCTAGCCCTTAGACCACTGCGCCACAGTAGGTTTATTACTGGTGATGGTTATAGAACTCACCATTGTGCCCTTAGGTTTATTACTGGTGATGGTTATAGAACTCACCATTGTGTTTTGTATCAGAAAGTATCAAAAGCTACTCCTCTTAAACCGTTTAAGCTAGAAACACCATTCAAACTTTAAAATGTGCAGACTGGTCTGGGATAGTGTGCTTGCATACAACTTTTTGATATTATTAATACTTTTTTTAAACAATACATTTTGTTGACTTTCTTTTTGTCCATCTTCATTGACTTTAATGGGACTTTTTTTCCAACATTTTAAAGTTCCCCATTGTGACATCATCACTTCCATCTTCCATTCACTGAAAATGCAACAATGCAACTTTTGACACAAATCAGCTACTTTCACCACTTTACCAAACGTTTACACAAAACATTAGAGTGTAGGACATCATACTTTACTTTTCTGCTATTCAAATCTGAAATAATAACATAATTATCTGGTACCGATCAAACGTTACAGCTGTTTAAGTGACCGCATCAACAACCTTTTCTGTAACTTTTTTAACATACAACTGACATTTTGACCGAACAAGTTAGACAAAAAGTTAGAGGGTATGACATCTTTGTCTACTTCTCTGCTATTTAAATCTGTCCACTGAGCAAAAATATCCGCTACTGATCTAACGATACAGCCGTTTTAGTAACTGCATTAACACATTTTTTCAAACTTTTTCCAAACAACTGCTATTTTGACCCCTTTCCCAACAAGTTAGACAACAACTTAGAGTGTATGACACCTTGGTCTACTTCTCTGCTATTCAAATCTGAAATAAGAACGTAAGTTCTACCAATCAAGAGGTACAGCTGTTTTAGTAACCACATCAACTAATTTAGCAACTCTAATTTCCCGCTGTTGAATTAACTGCCATGAAACTTTTCAGAACTTTCAAGTGATAGCAATGGGGGAGCACATTCTAAGCATGAGACAATGAGTAAACACTGTGACTTTTGACACTAATCAGCTACCTTGACCACTTTAATCAAACAACGCGTCGTAGACAACATCTTAAAGGGTATGGCCCCTTGGTCTACTTCTCTGATATTCAGATCTGAAATTAGAACTGCAATAACAATAATTAACCCCCCCCCACACACCTTAAACCAAACATTCATTCCTTTATAAACCATTCATTCCAACTCAACCTCCTTTCATCCTTTCATCCTTTCATCCTTGTATTCTTACTTTATTTAAATAGCCATTTATTTATCTATCCTATTTATTTATTACATTTTAGTCATTTAGCAGACACTCTTATCCAGAGCGACTTACAGTTAGTGAGTGCATACATTATTATTTTTATTATTATATATATAATTTTTCTTCATACTGCCCCCCCCCCCGTGGGAATCAAACCCACAACCCTGGCGTTGCAAACGCCATACTCTACCAACTGAGCTACATCCCTGCCGGCCATTCCCCTCCCCTACCCTGGACGACGCTGGGCCAATTGTGCGCCGCCCAACGGGTCTCCCGGTCGCGGCCGGCTACGACAGAGCCTGGATTCGAACCAGGATCTCTAGTGGCACAGCTAGCACTGCGATGCAGTGCCTTAGACAACTGCGCATTACATTTATCTATCCAGTCATATCTTTATTTTAACAGCTTTATCCTTTGATTAAGATATTAATGTGTGGTTGAAGTGAGGGATAAACGCTTGAGACAAAATGACGTTTTTTTAAACTTCAACAATTCCTCCTAGATTATATGTATTTTCTCATCACATGAAGTGGGGATCGGTGTCCTTTCTATGTCGTGAAGTGGGGAGCAGTGTCCTTTCTATGTCATGAAGTGGGGAGCAGTGTCCTTTCTATGTCATGAAGTGGGGAGCAGTGTCCTTTCTATGTCATGAAGTGGGGAGCGGTGTCCTTTCTATGTCGTGAAGTGGGGATCGGTGTCCTTTCTATGTCATGAAGTGGGGAGCAGTGTCCTTTCTATGTCATGAAGTGGGGAGCGGTGTCCTTTCTATGTCGTGAAGTGGGGAGCAGTGTCCTTTCTATGTCGTGAAGTGGGGAGCAGTGTCCTTTCTATGTCGTGAAGTGGGGAGCAGTGTCCTTTCTATGTCATGAAGTGGGGAGCAGTGTCCTTTCTATGTCATGAAGTGGGGAGCGGTGTCCTTCTATGTCGTGAAGTGGGGAGCAGTGTCCTTTCTATGTCGTGAAGTGGGGAGCAGTGTCCTTTCTATGTCGTGAAGTGGGGAGCAGTGTCCTTTCTATGTCGTGAAGTGGGGAGCAGTGTCCTTTCTATGTCATGAAGTGGGGAGCAGTGTCCTTTCTATGTCGTGAAGTGGGGAGCAGTGTCCTTTCTATGTCGTGAAGTGGGGGAGCGGTGTCCTTTCTATGTCATGAAGTGGGGAGCAGTGTCCTTTCTGTGTCATGAAGTGGGGAGCAGTGTCCTTTCTATGTCATGAAGTGGGGATCGGTGTCCTTTCTATGTCGTGAAGTGGGGAGCAGTGTCCTTTCTATGTCATGAAGTGGGGAGCAGTGTCCTTTCTATGTCGTGAAGTGGGGATCGGTGTCCTTTCTATGTCATGAAGTGGGGAGCAGTGTCCTTTCTATGTCGTGAAGTGGGGAGCGGTGTCCTTTCTATGTCGTGAAGTGGGGATCGGTGTCCTTTCTATGTCATGAAGTGGGGAGCAGTGTCCTTTCTATGTCATGAAGTGGGGAGCGGTGTCCTTTCTATGTTGTGCATTTCTGTCTTCAGAGTTCTGAACATTTCATCCTACTGACGATCGGCTTTGTCCATCAGTGATAACTGGCAGAGATATGTTTTTTATGGACTGGCTTATCTTGTGGTTTAATTACTCTGTTCTCTCTCGTAGATGGTCATACAAGATTGACATCTTGACAGATCGTTTGAGAGGCAGACGGACGGACAAATAGACAGACAGACAGATGTTTCACCAGCTTTATCTTCAATGACGTCAATATGGATTTACGCCAATTCTGAAAAGCAACTGATAAACACTGACAAACTCTCTGACCTTTTGAAAAGCAACATCCCTCCAGTGAAGTTCAAGAGAACCTCAGAACCATGGAATTCCACACTCTGGTTTCTCTCAACCGTAGACTTACAAAAAAATAGAATGGAAATCTTCCCTTTGAATGGGAATGTCTAGTGTAACATTTATTTGCATTTCCTGATACAACAAGCTCTGAGAAGATGCTTTAAAGCACGGACAGACATTTCTCACAGACAGTCGTCTCTTGTTCTTATATATCTCTTCAGCTTTTTTTCTTCCGGATACATCTGGTCATGAGATGCTTGCTTATCAAGATCCGAGGAAGATAAAAGTCATACAGCAGGAGAAGCTATCACATGTTTTAGGTTTTAAATGTTTTAGAGGTCTGTCAACATGACTCATGTGTATTTTGGAGAAGTGAGGACACAACAGGTCTTTCACTTGTCCTGAGGCTCTGCTTTGAGGTGTAGGAGGCCTTCTGGGTAAATCTAGGACTGTAAGATCATTTAAGTGTGGGTGAACAGAATCACACCAAACACATTAGCTATGTTCTAGGGGATGGGCGCGCGCACACACACACACACACACACACATACACACACACACACACACACACACACACACACACACACACACACACGTTATAGCCTAGCTAAATCAAGACAAGACTGAGGTACTTATTGTTGGAGCCAAAGCACAGAGAGAGAATCTAACCTCGCATTATAATTCCACGGGCAATAAAGATAAAACACCAGGTAAAAAACCCCAGGTGTTATTTTAGATTCTGAACTCAATTTCCAATCAAACATTAGGAGGAATGTGACCAAAACAGCTTTTTACCACCTGAGGAACATTGCCAAGGTGCGTCCGTTTCTCTCTCGGGCTGATACAGAGAGACTCATCCATGCTTTTATTACAAGCAGGCTTGACTACTGTAATGCTCTCCTGTCTGATCTACCCAAGAAAGCCATTGGTCAACTGCAAAACATAGAGAATGCTGCAGCACGGGTACTGACCAAGACCAGGCGGAGAGCACACATTACACCGGTTTTAAGGTCTCTGCACCGCCTGCCTGTGAGTTTTAGAATGAATTTGAAGATTCTTCTGTTGGTTTTTAAATCAATCCACGAATGTGCATCACAATACATGCCGTAGTCCTCCTGCAGTTCAGTTGGTAGAGCATGGCGCTTGCAACGCCAGGGTTGTGGGTTCGTTTCCCACGGGGGGGCCAGTATGAAAATGTATGCACTCACTTAACTGTAAGTCGCTCTGGATAAGAGTGTCTGCTAAATGACTAAAATGCAATGCCAGACATTACGTTATGTACCCAGTAGGTCCCTCAGGTCCTCTGGCACTGGCCTTTTAACTATCCCAAAGCCTAGGACCAAGAGGCATGGAGAGGCAGCCTTTAGTTACTATGCCCCCAGCCTCTGGAATAGCCTGCCAGAGAACCTGAGGGGGGGCCGAAACTGTGGACATATTTAAAAGAGATCTTTTTAGCTTTGACTTTCCTCAGGGTGCTTTTTGGTTGTTCAGTTTGTGTCATTATTTATCATATGTTTGTTGTTTAGTAAATATTTCAGCTTTTATTTTCATTTTGTATTTTTTTTTTTTTACATTTAGCAGATGTTCTTATCCAGAGCGACATAGAGTAGTGTATTTTCATACTTTTTTCATACTGGCCCCCCGTGGAAATCAAACCCACAACCCTGGCGTTGCAAGCGCCTTGCTCTACCAACTGAGCCACACGGGGCACATTGGCACGTGTTGCATTCCATGTCTGAAATGTGTTGTATAAATAAAGCTTGATTTGATTTGATCGCCCACACACCCAGAAACACCTCTAGCAGGCTAAGACAGGGGAAGGAAGGCATCAGGTTAGTGCAACAGCAGATGAGAAGGCATCAGGTTAGTGCAACAGCAGATGAGAAGGCATCAGGTTAGTGCAACAGCAGATGAGAAGGCATCAGGTTAGTGCAACAGCAGATGAGAAGGCATCAGGTTAGTGCAACAGCAGATGAGAAGGCATCAGGTTAGTGCAACAGCAGATGAGAAGGCATCAGGTTAGTGCAACAGCAGATGAGAATATACAGTTTATGGAAGCAATAACAAGCATACATAAGCAAAGACAATTAAAGGCACAAAGGTATAATGCAACAGCCAGATGTGCAAGCCCATCAGTATGCATACACCGTCAGACCCACAGGTTGTGCAACAGCAACCATACAGCATCAGCTCACACTGCTCAGACCCACATGTGCCACAGAAGCTTACACATTCATGCATACACTGCTCAGACCGCATCATGTTCCCAGCAACTCACATCAATGAGACACCTGCTCATGACCCACAGTCCACATAGAAGCATCACATTCAGCTCAATGCTAGCCACATTGCACAGCAACCATACATCATGACAACAGTCAGACCCCTGATGCAAGGCACCATCACATTATGCACACACCGCTCAGACCAATGTCACACATTACATATCCATTCACTGAAGCACAACTGCTCAACCCACATTGCCACAGCACCATAACATCAATAATACACTGCTCAACCCAATGTTCCACACAACATACAATCAATGACATCACACCTGCTCAGACCCACATGTTGCCACAGCAACCATACACATCAATGACATCACACACTGCTCAGACCCACATGTTGCCACAGCAACCATACACTCAATGACATCACACCTGCTCAGACCCACATGTTGACCACAGCACCATACACATCAATGACATCACACCTGCTCAGACCCACATGTTGCCACAGCAACCATACACATCAATGACATCACACCTGCTCAGACCCACATGTTGCCACAGCAACCATACACATCAATGACATCACACCTGCTCAGACCCACATGTTGCCACAGCAACCATACACATCACTTGTGTCTCACGAACCCCCCGTCCTTCATCCCCTCGAACCTTCCAGTGCTTGTAGCACTCTATGCCATATGGCCTCAAAATGCACTGTTCTATTTTTCTCCGTACCACACTTTTCAATATTTAAATAATAATACATTTGATTAATCCACTGTCGTAGTGATGGAGGATCATTTGATTTCCAGTTTTTAAGTAGAAGTTTTTTCAAAATTATTGACGAGGATCATCCACCCCATTGGGTATCTCACTGCACCCTCATGCCATGTCTTGAAATATGCAGGTAGACGGATTAAATGTAAACTTACGTTGTAAAATATCTGACAGCCAACTTTCTAGCTCCGCCCACAACTTCTAACTTCCAACTAGCACGTTTGGTTCATTGTAAGTTTTGGTAATGTATGTTTTTGATTTCACATTGGTTGTGGGAATGAAGCCATACGTTTCTTGACCGGTAAAAGTTTGTTTAATTATTATTATTATTTTTTTAATGTTCTGAGAACAGAAGTTAAAATGTTGCCTGTTCTGGGAAGGTTTATTTTTAGGTTGCAGGGAGGTTCTGAGAACGTTTTACTCTGGTTCCTTGGAAGTTTTCCTGGGTGGTTTTATTAACGCTCTGAGAATGGAAATTATAGATTATTTTGAGTTATTTTAAAAACTTCCTTAAACTTTCATTGAATGTTTCAATAAGACTTTTAATAATACTGCTAGCTTATTTTGGTTTAAATTTGTTGAGCTCCAAGCACAGATGGAAATGTATTTCCTTAGGCATTACTCATGCAAACACATCAGTGAGGTTCGAACCTATAATATTCAATTCTCTATCCATGGAATTAGTCCACTGCACCACCAGGATGGAGCTAGAATGCCATGTGTTTTTAACTCATTCAAAGCTGTTCATTTTAGTCTCTTCAAACAGACCTAATTTCAAAGGAAACAAGCACTCATTAAGATCAGGTGTTGGTGCCAATTAGTGGGCGCGGCCAACACACCTGAACACACTTAACAAGATAGAGGGTAGAGAGAGTTTTGTTGATGCTGAGTACAGGATGTATACGTTTTTAAATAACATTCTGAGAACGTTCTCTGAACTTTACTAAAGTTTTCTTGTGGTTTTTATGGAAAGTTTTCTTTGTTAGCCACGGCCAATGAACAAAGTCCACATCGTAAACAAAGCATCTCTCCTCTTTAACTAAATATATTTAAACAACAACACAGTGTTAGTTAGACACAGGACAGGATGCCAGCACTCTATGTCTATAAAGACACAGGACAGGATGCCAGCCCTCTATGTCCATAAAGACACAGGACAGGATGTCAGCCCTCTAGGTCCATAAAGACACAGGACAGGATGCCAGCCCTCTAGGTCTATAATGACACAGGACAGGATGCCAGCCCTCTAGGTCCATAAAGACACAGGACAGGATGCCAGCCCTCTAGGTCCATAAAGACACAGGACAGGATGCCAGCCCTCTATGTCCATAAAGACACAGGACAGGATGCCAGCCCTTATGTCTATAAAGACACAGGACAGGATGCCATCCCTCTCTGTCTATAAAGACACAGGACAGGATGCCAGCCCTCTATGTCCATAAAGACACAGGACAGGATGCCAGCCTCATGTCCATAAAGACACAGGACAGATGTCAGCCCTATGATAAAGACCAGACAGGATTCAGCCCTCTAGGTCCATAAAGACCAAGAAAGATCCAAGCCCTAGATAAGGTCTATAATGAACACAAGGACCATAAGATCAGCACTCTAGTACTCATAAGACAGACAGATGCCAGCCATCTAGTCCATAAAGAACATAGGATAGGATCCAGCCTCTAAGTCATAAGACACAGGACAGATCCAGCCTCTATGTCCATAAGAACAGTACGCATGCCAGACCCTAGTATAATACACAGGACAGGATGCCACCCTCATGTCCATAAAACAATGACAGATGCAGCCCTCTAGGCATAAGAACGGACAGGATCCTCATCCAGATCAAAACAAGGACTGTGGAAGAGGGAAGTACTCACAATAAGATACTCATAAGATAAATACTCATAAGATAAGATACTCATAAATAAGATATTCACAAGATACTCATAAGATAAGCTACTCATAAGATAAGATACTCATTATATATTCATAAGATAAGATACACATAGAACTCATAAAAAATCTCATAGAAAGATTACAAAAGATACTAATATACTATACTAGATAATACGCAAAAAGAATCATAAAAATTCCATAGTAATCTCTCGAAAGACTCACAAGATACCAAAAGCTCAGTCAGTACCAAATACCAAAAAACGTCGATAAGATAATAATAAACTTAATAAGCACCCAGAAGATACAAAAAAGATCTAATAACTCATAATAGTCACATACTATTATTACTAATGTAGTAGATAAGAACGTAAGTACTGACAAAAAAAATGGGAATGGCATCACAATGCTGTTTATAATGTACCAAACTGACTCAGACAGTGGTAGTTTACAGACTAGTTGGTAAACAAAACGCAAAATAAAAACATTTCTTCAAAGCATACATGCTTTATGCTCTGGGGAGAGTTGAATTAGTATCGGAATGTCTTCTTCTACAAGTCTGGAAAAGGTGACCCTCTCTCCTCTATAACAGGAGTGATAAGGGGAGCGACCCCCTCTCCTCTATAACAGGAGTGATAAGGGGAGCGACCCTGTAAACTGAAAGCATCTGTGTTGATGCCTTAACTAGATTACTTGACCCATGGCGTTCCATCATGGCTTAACTGATTTAGAATGGGCTGTGCATGACTAAGGAAGCATTTAGTTTGGAAGTATCACAAGTTACTCATCACTGGCTGACTGGCTGCCGGAGATAGTTTGAGTCCCAAATGACACCCCTATTCCCTACATAGTGAACTACTTTTGACCAGAGTCCACAGTGAATAGGGTGCCATTTGGGAGCCAACCACTAAGTCCACAGGGAAACAGTCAAAAAGGGTTCACCACTACACTACTGTACTGTACGGGAGAGGAACGACATCACAATTCACTACATCACATCCTACTTGAACTCTCCACAAGCAGACTTATTCACCAGTGGAGGGGACAAAAAGACAGACAGACAGACAGACAGACAGACAGACAGAGTTATGATGCTGTAAACATAGGAGCTGCTTGGTTAATGAACTATTGGCATTATGAGCTCTCTAAGCTCTGTGCAGTACGTCCTGGTTCCATGCTGATTTCATTTCAAGACATCGAGCGCAGAAATGACCTCCTCTCTCACTGAGATCTATAAGCAATCAGAACTCCACCAAGGCTTTTGGGGGTTTCAATCAGCACTCCACCAAGGCTTTGGGGGTTTCAATCAGCACTCCACCAAGGCTTTGGGGGTTTCAATCAGCACTCCACCAAGGCTTTGGGGGTTTCAATCAGAACTCCACCAAGGCTTTGGGGGTTTCAATCAGCACTCCAACAAGGCTTTGGGGGTTTCAATCAGAACTCCACCAAGACGTTGGGGGTTTCAATCAGAACTCCACCAAGGCTTTGGGGGTTTCAATCAGCACTCCACCAAGGCTTTGGGGGTTTCAATCAGAACTCCACCAAGGCTTTGGGGGTTTCAATCAGAACTCCACCAAGGCTTTGGGGGTTTCAATCAGCACTCCACCAAGGCTTTGGGGGTTTCAATCACAGCACGGGACTCCACCAAGGCTTTGGGGGTTTCAATCAGCACTCCACCAAGGCTTTGGGGTTTCAATCAGCACTCCACCAAGGCTTTGGGGGTTTCAATCAGCACTCCACCAAGGCTTTGGGGGTTTCAATCAGCACTCCCCCAAAGGCTTTGGGGGTTTCAATCAGAACTCCACCAAGGCTTTGGGGGTTTCAATCAGAACTCCACCAGGCTTTGGGGGTTTCAATCAGCACTCCACCAAGGCTTTGGGGGTTTCAATCAGCACTCCACCAAAGGCTTTGGGGGTTTCAATCAGCACTCCACCAGGCTTGGGGTTTCAATCAGCACTCCACCAAGGCTTTGGGGTTTCAATCAGCACTCCACCTAGACTTTGGGGGTTCAATCAGAACTCCACCAAGGCTTTGGGGGTTTCAATCAGCACTCCACCAGGCTTTGGGGTTTCAATCAGCACTCCACCAAAGGCTTTGGGGGTTTCAATCAGCACTCCACCAAGGCTTTGGGGGTTTCAATCAGCACTCCACCAAGGCTTTGGGGTTTCAATCAGAACTCCACCAAGGCATTGGGGGTTTCATATAATAACAAGGACAATGCCTGGTCACGAACGGTCCACTAAAGTTGACAGTCACTAACAGAATGTTTGTGTGTGGACCTGCACATACTGTATGTATGTATGTGTAGAGTGGTACACCTTCATCTGTGTAGAGTGGGACACCTTCATCTGTGTAGAGTGGGACACCTTCATCTGTGTAGAGTGGGACACCTTCATCTGTGAAGAGTGGTACACCTTCATCTGTGAAGAGTGGTACACCTTCATCTGTGAAGAGTGGTACAACTTCATCTGTGTAGAGTGGGACACCTTCATCTGTGAAGAGTGGTACACCTTCATCTGTGAAGAGTGGTACACCTTCATCTGTGTAGAGTAGTACACCTTGCTTTAACAAGCTACAGACAGGCAGGTGAATTCCTCACAGGAACTATTAAAAGACAGGCGCTGCCAAGACGGTTCTACAGCCCTTAGGGGTCCTTGCAAACAATGTGATAGAAGAGGAGAGAATAATGGCAGATGTTCTACAAGCTATCTCTGTACCGGTTCTGACAGAAACACACCTGAATGTCAGGTAGAGAGAAATGGGATGAGATTGGGGAGAAAGAGATGTGTTGGGGGAAAGAGAGAGGGAGATGAAAGGATAGAGAGAGAGATGTGTTGGGGAAGAGGGGGGATGCCTTAAGGCTCCGAGCGCGAGCTGAGCTCGCCTGTACTGCGGAGCGCCCGTAGCCGCAGCGAGCACTCCGTACGCGTCTCCTCCTCCCTCGATCCCTCTCTCTGCGCCGTCCCTTCTCCTCTCGTCTATTCTATGCCCCGCGCTCTCTCTCCCTCTCTCTTACTCTCTCTCTCTCGATCCGTCTCGCTCGGGTAAGAGTCGTTTCCCACTCCCGTTCCATGCCCCACAGCAACTAGAAGCTCCTAACTGAACGCCTGAGGCACCAGATCAATATTCCCCACTGTGCATGTGAGCAGCATTGTGATTTATCTCTGGGCCTGTCAAGCCACGTGGGATGTGGGCACCTGCTCATCCAACATCTCATCTTCCAAATCATGGGCATTAATGGAGTTTGGTCCCCCCCCCTTTGCTGCTAAAAGCATCCACTCTCTGGGAAGGCTTTCCACTAGATGTTGGAACATTGCTGCACGGGACTTGCTTTCCATTAAAGCCCACAAGAGCTTAGTGAGAGGTCGGGCACTGAGGTTTGGGCGATTAGGCCTGGCTCGCCAGTCAGAGTTCCAATTCATCCCAAAGGTGTTCGATGGGGTTGAGGTCAGGACTCTGTGCAGGACAGTCAAGTTCTTTAACACCGCTCTCGACAAACCATTTCTGTATGGACCTCGCTTTGTATATGGGGGCATTGTCATGCTGAGACAGGCTGTTGCCACAAAGTTGGAAGCACAGAATTGTCTAGAATGTCATTGTATGCTGAAGCGTTAAGATTTCCCTTCACTGGAACTAAGGGGCCTAGCCCGAACCATGAAAAACAGCCCAGACCATTATTCCTCCTCCACCCAAACTTTAGAGTTGGCACTATGCATTGGGGCAGGTAGCGTTTTCCTGGCATCCGCCAAACCCAGATTTGTCCGTCGGACTGCCAGATGGTGAAGCGTGATTCATCACTCCAGAGAACACTGCTCCAGAGTCCAATGGCGGCGAGGTTTACACCCACTCCAGGCGACGCTTGGCATTGCGCATGGTGATCTTAGGCTTGTGTGCGCGGCTGCTCGGCCATGGAAACCCATTTCATTAAGCTCTTGACGAACAGTTTATTGTTCTGACATTGCTTCCAGAGGCAGTTTGGAAACTCAGAATGAGTGTTGCAAACCAGGGACAGACCATTTGTAGCGCTACGTGCTTCAGCGGGTTCACCGTTCTGTGAGCTTGTGTGGCCTACCACTTCGCGGCTGATCCGTTGTTGCTCCTAGATGTTTCCACTTCACAACAGCAGCACTTACAGTTGACCGGGGGCAGCTCTAGCAGGGCGGGAAATTTGACGAACTGACTTGTTGGAAAGGTGGCATCCTATGACGGTGCTATATTGAATGTCACTGAGCTCTTCAGTAAAGCCATTCTACTGCCAATGTTTGTCTATGGAGATTGCGTGGCTGTGTGCTAGTTTTAAACACCTGTCAGCAACGGGTGTGGGATGAAATATAGAATCCACTATATGGAATCTATACAGCATTTGTTCTAGTCAGCACTAACCCACCTGATTAAAACAACTAATCACTTGGAATACAAAACCCCGATGAAGGGTGCCTCGAACGAGACGAAGAGATGGGGGACTTAACCATAGAGATAGATAGAGGACTCATCTCATTATAGTGTTTGTGACAGCATGGGCAAGCGCCATATGATAGAGCTAACCCCGCGGAGCAGGAGAGAGAGAGGAGTAGAGAGAGAGCAGAGAGGAGGAGCGCGAGAGGGAGCAGAGAGAATCGGGGCGAGAGAGCAGCGAGAGAGAGAAAGCAGAGAGCGAGGGAGAGAGAGAGAGAAGAGAGAGAGAGAGAGGAGCGTAGAGGAGAGAGAGAAGAGGCGCTCTCTCTCTTGCTCCTCTCTCTCTCTCTCTCTCTCTATACTTTCTCTGCCTGTTTTCTCTCTCTCTGTCTGTCCATCTCTCTCCACCCGCTTACACCAAAACCATTCCCCCTCTATCTGTCTTACCCCCTCTCTCTCTTATCTAGTCCATCCATCTTCTGGCCATCTATGACCCGGTAGGTGTCTCCTGGGGAGGTTCTCACATCAGTGGGAACAGGTTCTGTCTGTCTGATTGTCTGTCGGGTCTGTATGATTGTCTGTCTGTCTGTCTGTCTGTCTGTCTAGGTCTGTCTGTCGGTCGTCTGTCTGTCGCTGCTGTCTGTTGTATGTTGTCTGTCTGTCTGTCTAACAGTCTCTGTATACATTATGTCCCCCTGTCTGTCTGTCTGCAGTCTGTCAGTCTGTCAGTCTGTTAGTCTGTCTGTCTGCAGTCTGTCTGTCTGTCTGTAGTCTGTATGTCTGCAGTCTGGAATGTGGTGTGGAGAAGAGAAAGAGAGTAGAGAGAAAGAGAGAAGAGAATCAACGAGACGAGAAGAGAGAGATGCGGAGACCCAAAGAGCACGAAGATGACCTGGACCGGTAAGATTCGAAAAGACGTAGAAAGCGAGACAGACAAGAGAAATGGAGACGAAGGAGAGCGAGGAGAGTCAGAGGAGACGGGAGAGAGGAGAGGTGTGGTGTGACTGTGAGAGAGGAGGCTTCTGTTGTTTGTGTTATCTCTAATTAAAACAAATAGAGAGGAGAGGTCCAGGTCTGTCCTGCCTGGTCAGGAGAGAGCCCTGAGAGACAGAGAGATAAAGAGAGGCAGATATAGATATACTATTTTGTGAGTGTAATGTTTACTGTTCATTTTGTTATTGCTAATTACATTGTTTATTATCTATTTCCACTTGCTGTGCAATGTCAACATATTTCCCATGCCAAAATAAAGCCCATTTACAAAACACACAACACACACACACACACACCACACACAACACACCCCGCACACACACACACACACACACACACACACCACACACACACAAACACCACTGCCATCCCTGATACAAAAGAGGTCTGTCTGTCTATCCAAATCTAAGGAGAGGGAACCCCTGATATACTGTATGCTACAGATGAGACACTCTCATGATGTTAGTTAGTTATAGAGAGAGAGACCTAAAGATGACGAGTAGAGAGACGATGAGAGGAACGAGGAAATCGGACGGAGAGAGAGAGAGAGATCGAGACATGCTGAGAGAGTACGGATGAGAGAGAGAGAGTTGGAGAGCGAGAGTACGAAAGAAAGCAGGCCCGGACATTGGATCAGAATGCGAGAGAGATGAGGTGGAGGTGTACTCAGCGAGATCGACCGATGATCTGAATAGTGAGAGAGAGAGGAGGAGAGAGAAGTAGAGACGATAAGCAGAGAGTAGGTTGATTGAGAGTGTATGATCCGAGTGGCCTAAGAGAAGAGGCGACCCTCGAAGAAGATGGAGGCGAACGGTCAATGATGAGAGATGATGAGAGCGATCGAGAGAGATGTAGAGAGAGAGAGACTGTGGGATGAGGAAGGGGGGAGTAGAGACGAGTAAGGAGAAGGAGAGAGAGACCTACTGATAAAAGGAGAGATGTAGAGAGGAGGACGAGGAGAGAAGAGGAAGAGACCAGAGAGAGAGGGAGAGAGATGGAGGGGAGAGCGAGGGAGGGAAGAGGAGAGGAGAGAGAGAGAGAGAGGAGTCAGAGAGAGAGAGATACTGAGAGAGAAGCGAGAGAGAGATTAAGAGAGAGAGAGAGAGAGAAGGAGGAAGAGAGAGAGAGAGAGAGAGAGAGAGGAGCGAGGACTGAGGGAAAGAGGGGAAAGAGAGAGAAAGAACCTCTAAAGAGAGAGGGAAGATCTAGAGCGAGGCAGAGCGAGTGAATAAATGTCTTTATTCTTTGGAACCTCTTTTGGAACCGTTGTCCTTGCCAATGACATTTTTGTTTTTACTCTTAGGGTTTAATAAGTTACAGACAGACAGACAGAGAAAAAGACAGACCAGAAGAAATGAGACAACGAGACAATGAGTAAAACATTGTGATTTGAACATAATCAGCTCCCTTGACACTTTATCAAACAAACGCGTGCGTAGGGGGTTATGGCCCCTTGGTCTACTTCTCTGATTATTCAGATTTCTAAAATCAGAACAGCATAAGTACTACCAATAAGTAACCCCCCACCAACCCCCCCCCACACCACACACACAGACACACACACACCACCACACATTACACACAACACACACACACACACACACACACACACAAACAGAACCCACCGGACACACAGAGACCACAGATCATCTCCAAAACCACACATTTTCCAAAACACACCTAGTCCTCACTACCTGCTTTGGTAGTGAGGACAGAACAACAACACCACCACTCACCCAGTAGCAACCGCCCATTAATAACCAGCCAGTAATAACCAGCCAGTAATAACCAGCCAGATATAACCAGCCAGTAATAACCAGTTGTAACTACTTATAAACAGTTATATTCAATCTGGTAGATTACATACAATACTGCTTATATCATCATTAAACAACTACATTAAACAAGAAGTATAAGAAGTATCCCCTCCCCTCCCCTCCCACTCCCCTCCCTCCCTGGGGTTGGTTGGTTTGGGTTTGTATGGGTGGGATGGGTGGCCATGCATAAGGCTGGTATGCAGGAATGCATTCACACTGCTGAGTTTCTGAATAAACCTTGAACCATGAATGAGCAGGAGAATAACAGGGGAGAACGGAGACACAGAGAGAGAGAAGAGAGAGAGATGAGAGAGGGAGAGAGAGGGAGAGAGAGAGAGAGAGAGAGAGAGAGAGAGA